TACCTTTATTTATACAAGTAGTCTCATTGAGTCACTAGGACTCATTTTCAAGAGAGGCCTGTTTGGGAACAGATGGTGGGGGTTAAGGGCCTTGCTCATAGGCCCAGAGTCAGGCAAATGAGGGTGGAGGCAAGTGTGGGTGTTTCACCTTTTCCACCCACATTTTGATGTTGTTGGTCCAGGGAGTCGAACCAGTGACTTTCCGATCTCAAGCCCACCTTCTCTAACCTCTGTGCCACCACTCCGACACTAAATGTGTCATGGGTTTGGACTAGAGACAGGCTCATCAGCCCTGTCACAACTAAACTTGATTCCTACAAACTCACATCTGATTTTTATTCTTCATAACTTTTCCACAAACAAAATGGCTGAACTATCTTTTTCAAGAATTCAAGGATTCAAGAATTCAAGGTTCTTTATTTGTCATATGCACCGCAGTTGTCACAACCCCTCTGCTGACCAGCAGGGGTGGTTCCTCCTGCAGGCACAGGTGGGCCTTGAGCCACAGAGCTCCACTAACCTTTGTTATGTTTAGAAAAATCTAAAAACTAGCTATTATAAAGTATAAAAATCAAACCTGATCATCGGGATTCTTGGGGATCTGACAGCATCCAAAGTCTTGGGCCAACTGGCTGCAGTTTCCACTCGTCAGCGCCGCTTCGACAAGAACAAACGCCTCCTGAACTTTAGCCAGACACTGCAGAGGGGGATGAAGCTGATTTTAGGACAAGAACACAGAAGAAAGCAACGATGCACTGACAGGAAGCTGCTTCCACCTCCTCTGAGCCGCCGACTGCCTCGTTCATCAGACTCAAACCCACAACCTGCAGCAGAGTGAGACAGAAACTAATTCATTAAAGGTTCAGGTTCTGACACGGTCAGGAGAACACAGGCATCATGTTACCATGTGAAGATGGACTGCAGGCTTACATTGTTGTAGGCAGAAAAGTCCAGCTGTGCCTTGACTGGCGCCGAAGAGGCCACGGCTCCAAACACCAGACTGGGAAACTGCAGATGGAGGCAGAACAACGGGTTACCAAAGAGCTAAAACACACATGGAGCATGTTGCACAAGCTGATGTCTGCTCTTGTTTCTCACACGTGGAGTTATTCTCAGAAAATTCATAATTTATAACATTTGCTAAAATCTACAATTTCTTGCCCTTAAAAAATACATTATTTTAAATTGACTGTCAGAAGCAAACATCCTCCACCTGTTTTAGGATGAGTCTCATTTTTTACTGCCGTTTGCTGGAGGCAAAGAGGCAATCATGTTTTTCCTGTGTTCGCTCGTTGCTTTGCAAAATATCTCATGAACCACCAGAAGGATTTGAATCAAATTATCTGAGGGTGAGCGTTGGATGTGCATCTACAACTGATGAGGTTTTGGAGTCACTCTAATTAAAAAAGGCAGCTTTAAAGATGAGAAGGGTTAGGACACAATACATTTTACAGATATCCATCTAAAATCTGTTGTGGCTAAAATTGAGAATTTAAACACCAAGCTCTATAGCTGACTGTGTCATATGTGTTTTTTTTTTGTTTTTTTTCTCTCTCATTGTTTGTTTAATTCAAGTCTACTGGTCTGTTAACATAAAGTTTCATGAATTACTAGAGGAATTTTATAGTTCCTGTAAAAAATGTTCACCCCATTGGATGTTTTATTTTATCTTATTTTTTGCTTTTATTGCTGTCATAAATCAGTCATGATCAATATAAATTGCCATTTTGACAAAAAATAAAGTGAAAGTTTAATCATACAGTCTTATACCAAATAAATGAATAATAAATAATAATAAATGCATAAATGAAAGGGTACAATGTTTCTCTTTCTTTCGGCTGCTCCCTTCTTCAGGGGTCGCCACAGTGAACTAAGTCGCACGAAGGCTTGGCGATGATTTTGACTCCGGATGTCCTTCCTGACTCAACCACAGACCGCCGAGCTACCACAGCCCTCCAGGGGAGCAGATGGTGGAGGTTAAGGGCCTTGCTCAAGGGCCCAGAATGGGACAAATGAGGGTGGAGGCAAGTGTGGTGCTTCACCTTTCCCACCCACATTTTTGATGTCAGTACCAGGAGTTGAAAGGGTATAACGTTAAATAGGTAATTACATAAATATTTAACTCCTCTAAAGCCACTGTCCTAATTCAGCTCAAATAAATGATTATTGAAACGTAAAAGTCAGGGAATGGGTACAGAACTATTTTTCAGGGCTCTAAACATACCCAGGAGGTCTGCTACATCTATCATCAAGAAATGGAAGGAATATGGAGCATGTGAAGATCTACCAAGAGCAGGCCGTCCTCACAAACTGAGTGACCGTGAAGAAGGAGTGAGAGAGACCACCAAGACACCTGAGCCCACTCTGAAGGAGTTAAAACTTCAACAGGTGAGATAGGAGACACTGAGCGTACAGCAACTGTTGCCAGAGTTCGTCACCAGTCTGAGCTTTATGGGAGAGAGACACTGAAGAAAACTCAAGTCTCCACTAGGGCGGGCTGCCGGAGTCCTCTGTTTGCTAAACTCTTGTGGAGTATTTGAGTTTTCTGCAGTTGCTTTAAAGGGATGTGAATACTTATGCAATCACTTCTCTTACCTTACATAGTTTTATTTAATTGGTATTACTTTAGTAATTAGATTTCACATTCACATTGAAGAATTACCTCGGTTTTTTTTTTGTCAAAATGGCCAAATTAAATTGACCTTGATTGGTTTATGACAGCAACAAAAGCATATTAAAATGTCAAAGGGGGGAATACTTTTTATAGGCATGCTAAAACTTGCAAGTAAGCACTGGATGACTTTGGAGAATTAGTTAACTTTTGATGCCAACACAATTTAAGATGGCTGCTATAACCAAATCCCCAAAACAGCTGGGACCTGTTTAACTTTACAGCCACTGAGCCAATGTTTGGTGTGGTAGTAGTTGAGAGTAACTCCCAACACATTAAACAATATCACAAGTCTGAGAATAAGGGCTGACCCTTAAAGATCCTTTAACTCCGGATTTTCTTATTATGAGACTACCTTGGTTTAAAACTCTCAGCAGCATGCCTCTGTTCAAGTTATTTTGTAACAATGTTATTGCTTTAGTTGTTTTCTTTTTTTATCGTTTTAGAGTCAGATGCATGAAGCAGCAGTTTTTAGTGCACCTTTCCTCTGAACCAGGCCGACAGAGCTCCAGAGTACGAGCCTCCAAAGCTGATCCAGGTGTTCCTGCAGCTCAGGTTGAAGCTCTCGCTGATGTACTGGTGAAAAACAGCCAAGTCAGCAAGCCTGGAAAAAAAGTGGAGAGTTCAGCACATTTACATCTACAGATGGAAAAATGTACAAAACGTGGCAATAAAAAAGGCTGAGGCACACAGAAAAAAAAGTGCAAGAGGTGTTTCACGTTTGCACTCAGAGAAATTATTCATGAGAAAGAAAAGGGAGAAACTGACTGACATGTTTATCCAGCCTCACATGCATTACAGCAAACACAAATAAAAACAAACCGGAGGCAACAGACGTAAACACAAAAAAAGACGAGCTGATTAAAAAAAAAAAAGGTTCTAGTAAACGAGGGGAGACGAGCTGCATGCAGAAATGTGCAAACACACACTGGTGGAGGGCGAACACTAACGCTTGCTGACTGCTCAGGTCAACCAAGTTCTCCGTTTTTAGCCCATCAAGGTTGATGCTGTTGCCATAGAAACGATGTTCCACAGCCAGCAGCAGGGCGCCGTGTTCTTTAGCCATGGCAACATGATGACCTGGAAACATGTTTTTACCCCGCGATAGGATTTAGCTGCACCGTTTAGCAGGAAATACAGCTGCAGCATGGGTCAGGATTAACATTTAGAATGTCACTCTTAAAGCCCTAAAATGTGTTCTGTGTGATGACTAACACTTCCTTCCTACCTTTAGAAAAGTTATCTAGAGTGCAAGTCTTTTTTGCCCCCCCACCCCATCGCAGAGCAAAAAAGTGCAATTGGAAATACCGTCCATCCGTGAATTTTATGACCACAATAACTTGAAAAATAAGTGAGGTACCAACTTCCATTTTGGTATTTGGCTGCATATAGGCGTAAGAAAGTTTCCTTTTGAAAAATTGGGTTGCCAGGTCAAATTCCAAGATGACTACCGTCACATGTGTAGGCCTTTATATTTTAACTTTCTGAGTTGAATAACTTGAAAAGCAAGCAACTTTCTGGCTTTCATTTTGGTATGTGGCTGCATTTAGGCATAAAAAAGGTCAGCATTAAAAATTGGGTTGCCATGTCATCCAAGATGACTGCAACAAACTGAACAACCCTATCAAATGAGGAACCTGTGTTTTCAAGTTTTTATATTGCTTAACCGAAGTGGTGCACACAGTTTAGCTAATCCGGTAACAGCTAATAGCAGAACTACTTTTTTTGTTGAGTGGATTAGTGTTTTCACTAACTTTGGAAACCGTTAGCAGAACTAGCTTCCACTAAATTAAGTTTAGCTAACTTTGTTTGCTAATAAAATTCACAAGCTTGTTCCTGTCTGTTGTGGGCATGTCTCAAGGAGTCCATTAGCCACGCTACTGGTACACATGAAAATATGGGATTGGTTGACGCAGCAACTGCAAGCTGTAGGCACAGTTTTGGCTAACGACATGTACTGAACATGTTTGTAGTTTTTTCAGATGTTTTTCTAAAGTGGAATTGACCAGAGAATCTAAGTGAACCTTAATGTTTTTGGTGCATGATATTTAAGTGGACAGGAGTTACACTGTGGGTAAAAACAGAGGTAGTTTTTTGTTTTCTTTTTTCTTGTCTGAGGCAGTGCAGCGTGAGGGATTCTGGCGAGTGGAAGAAGCATTTTTATCCATGGCCAGGTGGAATGGCAGTGCCAGGGGGTGGTCATTGGTGGCCTTGATTGGCTATCTATGGCCACCATAGATTAATCTTTAGCCAACCCACCAGCCACACACAAACTATACTTTTAAGCAATATAAGAACTAGAAAGTGTAGTTTCCTCAAATGATTAGGGTGGCTGGTTTATATATATTAATGGTGGTGGCCATCTTGGATTTTGACATTGACAGTGACATTTCTTAAGCCTATGCAGCCACACACCAAAATGGAAGTTGGTACGATGCTTATTTTTGAAGAATATTGCTGCATGCAGGACAGGCAGGTTGATTACCAATCACAGGCAGATCAGAATGTCAGACGCCATCCCATTTGGGAAGAGTACAGTCATGGGTTCTTTTGTAGTTTATTTATATTTGATGAGATTTTCTGTTATGTTTATGGTTCAGTCTGTTTCTGTTCAGTGCCCTGAGACAACTTCTGTCGCAACTTGGCACTATATTAATAAACTGAAGTGAACTGAATTGTTTCTGTTAGTTCATCTCTATATGTCAGACAGTGTTTTTCCTCAGTGATCCTTGTTTTTAGCCACATTCTCACCTGTTTGCAGTTTATAATAAACCCACCTGTCCTACATTCAGCACTTACCTCCCCAGTACTTATACTCCTTGGTTTTCTTAATTATTTGTCAGATCCTCAAAAATGGTCTGTTCAGCCCTGATGTTATGTCAAATGCAGTTCTGGTTTCTCTTTATAAAAAAAATTATGGCATTATGTCTACCTTGGGGCCTCATCCATTTCCAGCCAATAACCATTACAAATTTTAAACTTGTTATGGTACATTAAACCTGAGAAGTGATGGACGGTGAACTTATTTTTGTCCTTTGCCTGTCTTGTCTCGCAAACTTGAAGTTTTGTTTCAAAACTTTCTGCTAACAAGTTTCAGCATGTTGTTAACTGATCATATATTGATAGTTTATCAGAAGGTCTTAAATCCATTAATTTGTTGTTGATTAATTGTTTTCAAACAGGAAGTTGGTCCCAGCAGTCCTTCCTTCTATTTTATCTTCGAATGGTGCTCCTATTGAGTTTGTGGATTCTTATAAATACTTGGGTATTTTGGTTGACTCGTATCTCTCTTTTAAGCTCCACGTTGAAAACCTAGTAAAAAAACTGATAGTTTAACTGGGTTTCTTTTTTTTAGAAATAAATCATGTCTATCTCTGAATCCTAGGAAATGTCTTGTAACTGTGACTTTCTTCCCTCCATTGATTACAGTGACATTATCTACATGAACGCTCCTACAAGAACCCTGCAGATGTTGGATGCTGTCTATCATGGTGCACTAAGATTCATAACTGGCTGTGATTATCGTACCCACCACTGCACCCTGTATTCACTGGTTAACTGGACATCATTAACTTCACGCAGACTCTCTCACTGGTACATTTTCATCTTTAAATCACTTCTTGGTCTGTTGCCTTCATACATCTCCTCCTACATGTCTCTGCGTGAGTGCAGCTACAGCGTGCGCTCTCAGGACATTATTACCTGCAGTGTTCCCTCAGTGAGGACGGAACTTGGCTAAAGGGCCTTCTCCTACTCCGCTCCTGTTTCCTGGAATGTCTTACAAAAAGATCTGGAGCTCTCAACCTTGACCTCTCTAAATGGCTTCAAAGATCTGCTGAGTTCCTGGTTGAACTGGTTGTGGTGAAGGATTTAAAACAAAGAATGGCATGTCAAAACACAGTACAAAGGAGTGACACTGCATATGCATATTGTAGTTTTTGCTGTGTGCTTTACTTGTTTAGTTTTTCTGTACAACACTTTGGTTGACCTTGTTGCTGTTTTAAGTGCTTTATAAATAAAATGGTATGGTATGGTATGGTATGGTATGGTATGGTATGGTATGGCATGGCATGGCATGGCATGGCATGGTACGGTTTGGCGTAGCGTGGCGTGGCATGGCATGGTATGGTAATGTACCTGTCAGAACATCAAACTCATAGATGGGCCCTTCTCCCCCAATGAAGAGAAACACTGGACCATCAGGACGCTGCCAGTATACCTCGTTCACAAAGAATCTCTGGACAACAAACAAACATGGTCAGAGAAAGACTTGTTAACTGTCATGAAACAACATCCCATCTGTCAGTTCTGATAAACACCAGTCTGTACAGCCGTAACAGGGCAACGTTGTATTCCTTTACATGTATTCCTTCTTTTCCTGTGTCCTTCTTCGTATCAACTTAAAGTGTGTTTGTACGTGCGAAGAGTCGACTTTTATTAACTTCAGTTGTTTGTTTCTATAAAACCAACCAATGACCAAGTTCATAAATTAGTCTTTGGTTGGTCAACCTCTCAATAACACAACGGTGGCAACATTCACCATTGTCTTTTGTGCTGTCCTTCTCAAATATTTATAAACTCTTTGAACTACGATGGGCAATTTTTGCATTTTCCTTCCTATTTCTTTCATTAAAAGAGCAAACTGAAGCTGCACACTGAGGTTTGCACTGTTAAGAAATGTCCCCCTGTTTGATGAACTGAAAAGATGTACTCCACCCATTCAAGTACATTTGTTTTAATTGAACCTCCTTAGATATTTATGCTGCAAAAACAGCTTACAATATACATATATTATGTATATGTGTATGTATATATGTATTTCCTTTCCCACATTGCTGTGTCAAACATTGCTTACCTGAGGAAAGGTGTTCACATCCTGTCGGTTGAAGTGGTCCAGCGGCTGATGAATCCAGGCCTCCTTGACCTGTTGGAAAGGCTGATGACCGCTGGTGATGAGGTTCAGGAGGAACTCCTTGTTGTTCTGCAGCTGGAAATCTCGTGCACGCTCTTTGATTTTTCTCAAAATATGCCCTTTTGACCAAAGAGAGACAAAGAAAAGTGAGCAAAATGATTCAAGCTCAATTATGACAGTAGTTTTATGTACTCACCAGAATCAACCATGTTTTGAAGAAGCAGAACAAGAAGACAGCAGGTTTGTAAGAAAAGCATCTTTAACCACGTTTCAATACTTTAATCCAGACGTGTATCGGTAGCGGGTGGGACTCTTGAAGATGGAGTCCTTATCTAGCTGCTGAAGGGGGCAGCTCTCCAGTGTCATGTAACTGGAGCTGTGAGCATTGATGATCTGTAAATCACACTTCATTTAAAGTGAGTGACGCAGCGTGTGCTAGTGTGTCTAAAACAGAAAGAATGAACGAGCTGCTCAGCACAACAGAGCGTCAACTTGAAGACGTAATTAAATACATTTGCTGTGCAATGGCTTTTTGAGGTAGTGTTTAGTTACAAGACCAGTTCAGCGTTTTTCCTCTTCTCCATCTGCATCAACATCTTCCAGTTCTTAAAACTCTGACATCTAATGCAATGGTTCTGAACTTTTCACCTTTTGAAAAAAAATAAAAATAAACGTAGATTCTTGACTTCAACTATTGCTGGTTCAAGTACAAACCACATAACCAAGAGCCTTGTCGTATTATGTATTTTTCCATTCCTATTCCATCTCCATCTCGGGTCGAGGAGGCAACAGAGCAGGAGAGAAACCCAGACATCTCTCTCCACATGGACACTTTCCAGCTCCTCCGGGGGGACCCCGGGGCATCCCCAGTCCAGAGAAGATATACTTTGTAGAATACCTCCAGAGAGTTCTGAGTCTTTCATCAGGGCCCCTTACTTGTGGGACATACCCCAAAACCCTCCAAAAATCAGCACCCAGGAGGCATCCCAATCAGATAACCGACCCACATTAACTGACTTCTTTCGATGCAGAGGAGCAGCGGCTTTACTCTGAGCTCCCACTGAAAGACGGAGCGCCTCACCCTAAGTAAGCTCATGTCGGCCATGCTCCAAACCTCATGACCACGGGTGAGGGTTGGAACAAAGACAGATCAGTAAATCCAGAGCTTTGCCTTTCAACGCAACTCTTAATTCACAATGACCGACCGGAGCAGCACCCTCATTACTGAGGACAAGGCCCCTATCCATTAATCTATCTCCTGCTTCATATTACCATCACTCAAGAACAAGATGCCCAGATACTTATACTCCCACCTGAGGAAAAAACTCCCCCCTGACCAGGATGGTGCATTCCACCCGTTTCCCATGGAGAACCATTCATATTGCCCTTTTTAATAACTTTGTAACAGTTTATGCTTAAAGTGACACAATCAATCATTTTCAACAATAATTAGATTTCTATAGATCTTTTCAAGATCCCCCTTGTGTTGTTTGGTGACCCTGTAGGGTCCAAATTCTGAGAACCACTGCTCCAGTACACTTTTTTGACGAGTCACAGAAGTGTTGCTTAATGGAACCTATAAGGTTTATTTTAAAGTTGACAGTGCATGTAAAGGTAAATTAAACTAGTGGTATACTAACTTTAAACAATGTCAGGGTGTAAGCAGTGGTGACTTCTAAACGACAGAATTCAAATAGTTGTTTTTTTAGTTGTGTTGAAAAGATAGAGAAGTGTCGTAAAAGTTAAACAACAGACCCAAGGTACTCCACCTGAACAACTCTCAGGCCTTCCTTCATGACATTAATATTTAAATTTACACGTGAATTACATAAAATTGCAACACGTTTACAAAATACAGCGCAAATCTACTTCAAGAGATTAAAAAAAACATGTAAATCTTCAGTTAATGCATGCAGCAAGGAACAGTATGCTCAAAATCAACTTTTTAATGGAAAATGAATCAGGTGGTGTTTTGTTTTGTTGTGATGGGATCATCTTTTTTATTCTCAGTATTATCTGAGTTGTAGGTTCAGGGTTTGGGACAGTTTTTAAAATCAAACCCTGACCTGTTCTTCTCTACATCTTAATCTCTGACTTGGGTGGAGAGGTTTTTTTAAGTCTTCATGCTGAGTCTTGTTTGGTGGCATTTTTACCACAATGACTGAAAAATCAATGAAAACTACTGAAAAATCGGAGTCTATACCAGAACTCCCCACTCTCTAAACAACTATAAACAGCCTTAGGAGCTGAATCAGAACAGACTCGTCCACCCCAGATACATTAAGGAACTATACAGAACAAGGTTCCTGCCTGCTGAGCTAATTCTCCTCCATTAAACTTGAGTTATCACGACTGATACTTATCTCACTTTATTGTTGGCAAACATTTAAAATTCTTGATAATATCCTGCTCAGCACATTACAACAAGTTACCATATTTATCATTTATACTGATACACCTCCAGATGCAGGAATAGGGCCGCCTGCATCATGAAGGACCCCACTCACCCAGCACACACACTTTTTGTCCCGCTCCCCTCAGGAAGGAGGTTGAGGAGCATTAAGTGTAGAACCACTAGACTTAGGAACAACTTCTACCCTGAGGCTGTTAGACTCATGAATCTCTAACTAGAATAATCACTGTGAAAAATCACATCATGTTGCTGCTGATCTGTTTCATGTTGCTGCTGATCTGTTTCATGTTGCTGTTTTCATTCGTACTCATGTGCTCACAGAGACTTATGTTCGTGCTGCTGTTCGGCGTATTGATTTTGTGCTATTAGTGCTTAGTGTATTTTTAGTTGATGTTTTTCTTAGTTCATATCTTGGATCTCATTACAGTTTTTCTTTTACATTTTATTGTTGAATGTAACTGGGACTCTGTGTACACAATTGCGTTCCACCACATGCACCACATGTGGTGCGAATGACAAATAAAGAAACTCTAACTCTGACTCTGATATCATTATTATTAATATTGCTACTTTTACCATTATCAATCCATTTTCATTAGCAATTGTAACATTAGTGTTACTGTTATTATTGTTATAAATTTCCTCCAGGAATATCTCCCTCTCCATATTCTCTATCTGTACATATGTACGTATCCCTCCTGTTTCTGTTAGCTGTTTTTTGATTAGTTTTTTGTTATTTTTGTGCTTTTTCTATTATTATCTTGCTGCTGTCATTATGCTGCTACTGTAATTTTCTGAATGACCTGGATGCTGCCTTGACAACTAACTTTTTATCAGAGATGAATAAATCCATCCATCCCTCCATCCTCCTGCCTTCCACAGCCTATATATATCTCTTGGTAACTATGTAGCTAGCTAGCTACATAGATTGAACTGTTGTTAATCCTGGGAGCTATCACAACAATTATATTTATACTGAGATAATATGTGATTAAGATTACCTACAGGCAGATCTTAATTAACAAAGTGTGTTTTTTTGATGATTTTGGCTTAGAAGCAAAGGGGTTGTTACGTCCACCATGGGCATAACATATTAAAGGAGGACACAGGACTCACAAATGAGGGTTCGAATATTAAATTTATTTAGAAAAACTGCTTCCTGCAAAATAAAAAGAATTGAAAAAATTCCCGTATCCACCAAAAAAGACACAAAACTCCAAAGTGTTACTGTTACTTAAAGCTGGACCTGGTGACCTGGTCAAACAGAACAAAAAGGTATTGCAGCGGGCCAACCCTGTACAGGGCTGTCGAAGCCGCTGCTGGTACCAGACTAAAACTAGAAAAAACCTACAAGAAACACCTATTACAAAAGAAAAGGGAGAAAACAGGACAACCAGTCCTGCCAGGCCAACGTTACAACAAATATACAAAAAGTTAACAAAACTGACCTGCTGGTGCCACCAACAGCAGGCCGCAGCTCCAGGACAATGAAAAAAACAAGGGCCCTGGGAAAACCAGGGCAGCCAAGAAAAAGTTCCAAAAATGAGGGAGCATGAGAGGAGCAATAACAGAGGGAGTCTGAGATAGGGTGACCAGACGTCCCCAATTTTTGGGGAAAGTCCCCGTTTTAGACGACCTGTCCTCGGCTAAAGTTGTCCCCGAAAATGTCCCCGATTTGAGCGTTTAATTAATGAGAATAAAAAGTCGCATGTAGACTGTTATTACAGTAGCAGGGTGCGCGGGTGCAGTTGTGTGCAACAACCGCTATTACTGCAGAAGCTGGTCGCGCCGGCGCTGCAGCGCTCACTTTACAGACAGAGAAGAAGAAGAAAAGCTTAGCGCGCCGCCTTTAAAACCGAAGAAGAAGAAGAAGCAGCGCAGAGCGAGTTTGTCAACACTGACAGGGAGCTCTCCTGTGATGGTGTATGATCAGATTTATTTTGTTTGAACTGGGCTGATCCTGCCGTGATAAAAGTTTTGTTCGCAGTAGGAAATGTTTCTAGTGCTGTCAACTGTGTCCAGGTAAAAATATAGGGCTGAGATGTGTTTAGTTTTACTAAAGATGAAGACCCAAATCAAGCTTTAATTAACAAACAGAGCAGAGGGAGTAACTACAGCTCGAGGGAGAGAGAGGGAGAAATCATAACAGGAACTGTCTTCAAGGCTCAGTTAAGCTGGTTTAGACTTGACGCATTGAATATTGCACAAGGGTGCACGCGCCAAGGGTTCATCCAAAGTATGATGTTTTAGAACTGATTGGTGACCTTTAATTAATATTTTCAGAGCTAGTTATGAGTTGTTTTGATAATATATTAAAACTCAAATCAATCTGCTGGCTCCTCAGATAAACAGTGTGAACTTACTTTTATTTATATGAATGTTTCTGTTCAGATGACTTCTGCTGTGACTTGGAGCTATATAGATAAACTGAATTGAATTGAATTGTGAAAATAGACTTTCAAACTTAAGTGTGTAATAAAATATTGTGATCAACTGTATGAAATGCAGCACTGAGGTCTAACAGGACCAGTGTAGACACCTGTCCATTGTCAGAGGCCATGAGAATATCATTAGTAACTTTCACCGGTGCTGTTTCTGTAATTAAAAATAATGTTAATATTTATTATAAGATTATACTAGGATAACCCCAGTTTCTCATCTAAAACTTATCAACTCCTAAAGGGTATCTGAAACAAAAATCTTGTTTTCTTTGTTAAATAGTAAATTTACAGTGTGCTATATGTTCTAATATTTTTGTAAGGGATTGTGATTATATTATGTCTCTGTTTTAGAGCTAAGCAGCACGGTGGTGCAACTGGTAGAGCTGCTGCCTCTCAGCGAGCAGGTCCCTGGTTCAAAGCCCAGTCCGGGGGCCTTTCTGGGTGGAGTTTGCATGTTCTCCGTGCATGCGTGGGTTTTCTCCGGGTACTCCGGTTTCCTCCCACAGGCCAAAAACATGCATGTTTTACTCATTGGTAACTCTAAATTGTCCCTAGGTGTGAGTGAGAGAGAATGGTTGTTTGTCTCTATGTGTCCCTGTGATGGACTGGAGACCTGTCCGGGGTGTAACCCGCCCCTTGCACAATGATTGCTGGACATGGGCGCCGGCGGCCCCCATGACCCAGAATGAGAGCAGAGGAAAATAGGAGGATTGATAAAGCAAAGAGAAGGAAAAGAGCAGAGGACTGTTGCAAAGAAAAAGGAGGAAAGGAAAGAAGAAAGACAAGCCTGAATGACAAGGTGCTCTTTCAAAGAAGAGGAAGTGTCATTTTACTGAGATACCAGCAGAGTTTCCATTTCTACATCCTGGTCGGCTCTTCAGATTTTTGCTCTTCAGTTAATGTTCACGTTTATCTGTCACATGTTTTTTGATGTAAAATATTTACAAGGTCAAGCATTAAACTGATGAAGTGGTTTGACTGGTAACATATTGAGTGATGACAGAGTGGCTGTATACTTGGTGAGATGTTACGTCTGGTTCGAGTTGAGAGGACAGAAGTTCTTCCTCTGAGCTGAGCGTCAGGTTCATGTACTTCTCTAACCGCAGCAGTGTGAAGAGGCAGTTGTTTGAGTGATGTTCAAAAACAGAGTGAGCCGCAGAGAGGAGCAAAAAAAGAGAGAGAGGGGGAAGGGAAAGGGCGTAAAGGTTAAGTTGCTGCACTTTACTGTATGTACAAAGAAGCACTGGAGTACATTAGTAATCAAAGTGGTTATTTTAATTCAGTTGCAGCCTTTCTGCACGGTCATATAGTCTACTGTTGTTATATCTGAGGGGAAGTCATTTTGGGTTTCTCTGGAATTATTTTGCAACAATCAACATCACTAACCTGGATAAATAAAGGCTAAATGAAAAAAAAAAATCCGACCTGCAAACATACCAGTACTTGTGTTGATAACACCAAGCAGTTTCCTGTAAGTAACCACAAAGCACACACATCTGGAGCTCAGACCAGTCTGTGTGTCCTCGGGAAATTGTAATAATTAAGAAAAACAAAAGGTGTTCAGCATTTTCAAACCATTTACATCACATGCTTTGGATAAGATTAAATTCTGAAGGGAAAAAAAAAAAGCGGGGCTCTGTTATTGTGTCAGAGAGAACCCAGCCCATATCTTGTCACACAGATTTCCTGTTACTATCAACCTTCTTCTCACTTCATGCAGATTGAAAGCGAAAAGGGGAACTTCTCCAGCGGGGGGCTCGGCTGATACATTTTCTTTTCTTCAGGCAGAAAAACGACCAGCAGCATCATGGTTAGTCTGGTTTATGCTGTGATTTTTGGCTGCATTCTGGCACTCGGTCTACCTCTTAACGCCACGGCGCTCTGGATGCTGCTTCGCCACCACGGCTTCAGATCACCCAACGCTGTCCTCATGGTCAACCTGGCGGTCTCCGACCTGCTGCTCGTCATCTTCCTGCCTATGCGAGTCTACTTTTATGCTACTGGCACCTGGCCGCTGGGAAAAATGGCCTGCGTCCTGGTTACTCTTCTCTTTCGAGACAACATCCGCTCGAGTTCCATCTTCGTCACGTGCATCAGCGTGGACCGGCTCCTGGCTGTGGTTTACCCTCTGAGGTCACGCCATCTTCGAACCCCATCCATCGCTGTGAAAGGCGCTGCCCTCGTTTGGCTTTATGTGCTGATGCTGAATATCCCGGAGGGTCTGAATATGTCCAAACACTTATACAGTCAAAATGAGACGACTTGTTTTGAATCTGCATACGCCAAAAACCCAAGTAAACCAATTATTGTCTACTTTCACACTGTGGTAACGTTCATCATGCTGGCAGTCAACATCGGGTGCACTGCCATGGTACTACGGACTCTGCATCGTCATGTCAGTAAATCTGCAATGGTCGACAACAAGGTGAACGTCATGGTGATTTTTGCCATGAACTTAGTGATTTTCATCATATGTTTCCTGCCTGTAACTCTCAATTCAGTGATGGTTATTTCTGGTTCTGATCTCACTTTCTTGATCTGCCTGGCTACTGTAAACTGCTGCCTGGATCCACTCTTGTACTACTTTTCCCTCGATGCTTTCTGGAGGAAAAAAGAGGACGCCAACGTGAGACGAGAAACAAGGACAAATGACACTGAATTTTTATGAAATTATACCATGTCCCATTTTAAACTATGACTTTACTGCTTCTGTTTGTTGGGTTTATGATTGGTTTGGGGTTTGGGGTGGAGGGATTTTTCAAAACTCTGCTTTTGGTGAATCCATCGTGGAGCTTTTTCGTAACAAGGACATAACAGCCAACATCGCACAAACATGCTGTCACTTTGTGCGTTGGAAACTAAACAAAAATGGAGCCATTTTTACTTGATTTGCTACACCGGTCTTGTTTTATTCTGATCTTGATGATGTTAAGCATTGATTGAGTGCTCAAGTGGTTTAAAATTCAAAGGAGACTGTAAAGAAATTGTAAGATAAAAACGGGTTTTGCAATCAATTTGAGCCTAGCTAAAAATGTTCTCATATTTTTCATTAAAATAATGTGGACAAAAGATGATTTGTAAACAAAGAAAAAAATACAAGGTAAAAATACTATTTGGATTTGTGTAAACAAAACCATAGAGTAAAAGATGTAGAAAAGTTTTTTTTTTTCATACAAGGTTAAACAGCTAAACTGGCTCTGCTCAGCTATCAAAAAGTTACATCTATTACACTGTTTATTTTGGAACCAGGTGTGAAATTGTATCAGTACTCATTTTTCACAGAAAAGAAAATAAACTTGTCATGTCATGTCAGCTCTTCTGTCTTTGTGATCAGCTGACTGTATCTTCATCTTCATTAGACTCATCGGAGGGAAGTTAATGTGACGATTTAACTTCTTGTCACGACAAAAGCAGCAGTGAAATGTTTACTTTTTTAATTGATTCATCCAAGGTTTATAAATGAGTTACATGAAATGGTTCAACTTCTGTGTTATGCGTTTTATAGGCTGATTGTATGAGTCGAGCTGCTACCTTTTTTTGTGGTGTGGAGATGTAAATTGGTGTTGCTGCCTGATACTGAAGTGAAACGAACAGCTTCAAACTTCGGTCTAACATTCCCACCAGATAATGGGGGTCATTTCCTGCTGCTGATAGATGGCTTTATACATAAATTTGTATTTATTTATCACAAAAGCAGATAATCATAATTTATATTATATGTATTTCACAGTTTTGCAAGTACAAAATCTTAGCAGAGGCAGAGGAAGTACTGTAAAGCTGTGAATGGAACGTAAGAGGAAGACGCCCACAGTGGGGAAACAAGTCAGTGCAAACCACGTACACTTGAAGAACCGCTAAGATGAGAGCCGAGTGGAACTGCACTTACTAATGGCAAAGCTGCTTAGGTCTCTTGGCCTGGGAACACCTTGGAGTTCATCAGTCCAACCAGGCCTAAACTCTTCTACAGACTGAGACTGTTCATTAGGCTATCTACAACACTTTACGTCTTATTGTTGATATTTCAACAGAACCCCACTTCAAAATAGCTGAACCATTAATTTAAGACTGCGCTGTTTTACTCTTAATAGTTACTTACTAGCTTTAGCTTTATGACTATTAAACTATATATTGGTTATGTTTCATGGCAGCATGAGGAAGAGAGTAGGATTTATCTGGCAACATTTTTTTGTTGACCCACTGCTGCAGCTGCTGTTGGATATTTCTACTCTGCTGCAATCTAAGAAATCATACAAAAGTAAAAAAATAAAAAAACTATCAATGATTTGTGACCAAGTGATGACTGCATGAATGAATGAAGCTTTATTTGTCATAGTCTCAAGTACAACAGAGCCTTTCCCAAGGTGTCTGTACAGGCATTTGTTTGATGTACAGGTCCTTCTCAAAAAATTAGCATATTGTGATAAAGGTCATTATTTTCCAAAATGTAATGATAAAAATGAAACTTTCATATATTTCAGATTCATTGCACACCAACTGAATATTTCAGGTCTTTAATTGTTTTAATACTGATGATTATGGCATACAGCTCATGAAAACCCAAAATGCCTGTCCCAAAAAATTAGCATAATGAAATGGTTTTCTAAACAAGCTATTAACCTAACCATCTGAATCAACGACGTAACTCTAAACACCTGCAAAAGATTCCTGAGGCTTTTAAAAACTCCCAGCCTTGTTCATTACTCAAAACCGCAATCATGGGTAAGACTGCCGACCTGACTGCTGTCCAGAAGGCCATCATTGACACCCTCAAGCAAGAGGGTAAGACACAGAAAAAAAATTCTGAACGAATGGGCTGTTCCCAGAGTGCTGTATCAAGGCACCTCAGTGGGAAGTCTGTGGGAAGGGAAAAGTGTGGCAGAAAACGCTGCACAATGAGAAGAGGTGACCGGACCCTGAGGAGGATTGTGGAGAAGGGCCGATTCCAGACCTTGGGGGACCTGCGGAAGCAGTGGACTGAGTCTGGAGTAGAAACATCCAGAGCCACTGTGCACAGGCGTGTGCAGGAAATGGGCTACAGGTGCTGCATTCCCCAGGTCAAGCCACTCTTGAACAAGAGACTGCGTCAGAAGCATCTCGCCTGGGACTGCTGCTGAGTGGTCCAAAGTTAAGTTGTCTTGATTACAGTCAATTTTACATTTCCTTTAGAAATCAAGGTCCCAGAGTCTGGAGGAAGAGAGGAGACACAGAATTCACATTGCTTGAGGTCCAGTGTCAAGTTTCCACAGTCACTGGGGTGTCATGTCATCTGCTGGTGTTGGTCCACTGTGTTTTATCAAGGGCAGGGTCAATGCAGCTAGCTATCAGGAGATTTTGGAGCACTTCATGCTTCCATCTGCTGAAAAGCTTTATGGAGATGAAGATTTCATTTTTCAGCACGACCTGGCACCTGCTCACAGTGCCAAAACCAATGGTAAATGGTTTACTGACCATGGTATTACTGTGCTCAATTGGCCTGCCAACTCTCCTGACCTGAACCCCATAGAGAACCTGTGGGATGTTGTGAAGAGAAAGTTGAGAGACGCAAGACCCAACACTCTGGATGAGCTTAAGGCCGCTATCGAAGCATCCTGGGCCTCCATAACACCTCAGCTGTGCCACAGGCTGATTGCCTCCATGCCACGCCACATTGAAGCAGTCAATCATGCAAAAGGATTCCCGACCAAGTATTGAGTGCATAACTGAACATGATTATTTGAAGGTTGGTGTTTTTTGTATTAAAAACACTTGTCTTTCATTGGTGGGATGAAATATGCTAATTTTTTGGGACAGGCATTTTGGGTTTTCATGAGCTGTATGCCATAATCATCAGTATTAAAACAATTAAAGACCTGAAATATTTCAGTTGGTGTGCAATGAATCTGAAATATATGAAAGTTTCATTTTTATCATTACATTATGGAAAATAATGACCTTTATCACAATATGCTAATTTTTTGAGAAGGACCTGTACAGCATAGTATAACACATGCACATGAAATGTATAAAGTTTAAAAAGTTTTTAAAACTTTCTTCCCCCATCTCTACTGGTGTACCCCAAGGTTCTGCCCTTGGGTCCCTCTTCTTCATTATTTACATTCTTCCCCCAAGTCATATTGTCTGTACATTTGGTGTCTATTTTCACCGTTATGCGGAAGACACCCAGCTATATTTGTCTACATGTCCTAACTCTACCCTCCCACCCTCCATCTTCACTGATTGTCTCAGTGAGCTCAATCACTGGTTTTCCTACAATTTTCTTCAACTAAAAAGTGATAAAACAGTACTCATCCTTGTTGGTGCCAAAAGCACTGTTTCCAAATCTAAAAGTTTTCTCCTTCCACTTTACTCAGCTTTTCCAGAACAATGACTCGCTCGTACTAAGGTGCTGATGTGTTGAAGTGCCATTATTAAAGTTTTTTTTTTATGAAACAAGAAAGCGAATCTTGCTGCTACATTGTCCAGCTATAGGATTTCCAAGAAAAACAGTATAGGTTTTAAATGTTTACAAAAATTATCCCACATTTAGACACAAATTCAAACCATTTTTAAACAGAGGGAAATGGAAAAACCTCTTTCAATGCATTGGTTGTGATTATTAATGTTCAGAAACAAACACCAACAGACTCAGTTTAGTCATTTTATTTACTTCACAGACAAGTGTCATTATCAGACAAAATATACAGAACAAAGTGTAGTTGAGCTAACACATCAGATAATGTGCTCCCTTTGTGTTGACTTTAGCCCAGGTTGTACCTCCAGACTAAGGCTTTAACGTTACAGAAAACAAAAAAACAGTTTAAAGAATTTATTTTTTCTATTAAAGATGGACACATGCGAAGTAAAGCAGAGATTACTGCTAATGATTCATGTGTATATTCAGGGAAAAGTGAAATTAATTTAAAAAACTGTCATTAAATGAATGCAATCAATATTGTGATGAGAAAAAGGCAGAAAGACGAGTAAGAAAGCTACAAACAGGCAAGAGATAATGCGAAGCAAGCAACTAGTCCTCAGCAGTTACATGTTTACATCGCACACAACACAGAAAAAATAAATAACTTGGCCAACTTTAGCTTTAAATTGGATTAAGCAAAGCAAGAGCTCATACTTGCCACAAATGACTGTTTGCAAATCTAACAAAACACAAATGAACCCTCGGGACTTCCAGGAAAACCCAAAGCCTGGTCACCTTGGCAACACATGGAGACAGTAAGCATCGTACAGTACGAATCCTCCAGAGATCAACAGGAGAGATGTTGAAATGATCCTTTATTATTGGCTTAAGGATTTGCTACATGGAAAATTCTGTGACGGAACCAACAACTGAGTGTTGCATCACCACTTCAGGGCAAATACAACACACGGTAAAATAAAAAATAAAAAAACACAAACGAGAAAGAAAAAAAAACTGTTACAAAGTACATCAAATCACAAGTAAAGTGCAACCGAGATGTGATCAGATCCAGAGGTGGATGCTACAGTGGCTGGGGTGGAGAGTGGAGTTGTGCCTTCAGGTGGGGGGAGGCAGCGCTCGAACCCACAAGTCTACGCTTCATCGCAGATAACCGTCTCCACCACGAAGGTGTTCTCAAAGTGGCGGATGTGGTGGCACTCCTTCGCCTCTCGCTTGTTGATGCCTGAAACGTAAAACAAGATGAGAAACTCAAGCCACTCATCACAGCACGTTTTATTTATTTATTCTTTAAAGCCGTCCCTTGAGGCTTAACTTACGCCTTCGGGTGAGCCGGCGGGTCAGGCGGTACGTTTCCTTCCCGTTACACAGGCGGTAGATGAAAGGTCCCAGCTGACGCATGTTGTGCACTTTGCCGCTCACCACCATCTCTTCATGGATGATATAAGTCTGAGGCAGGTATGTTCCCTTCTTAAAGAGGCAAAACAAAACAACAGGATCATATTCCAGCAGAGAGGTGGAGTACAAAATAATTACCATATTTTCCGGACTTTTAAGTCAAACTTTTTTTTCATAGTTTGGCCAATAACTGCGACGTGTAGTCTAAAGCAACTTATTTACTTTATTTTCCCTATTCATGATGCAATTTTTGGCTGCAGTGAAATTTTTCCTTGCTGATTCATACGGACATGAACCAAAGAGTAAACCTTACCATTTGCAGCCACAAGAGGGCCCTCTAGGTTTTTGACAACTATATGTTAACCCTCCGCCCCCAAGTCTTCCTCCGGAGTTGGCAGAATTGTTCAGAAGAGACACAGAGGATGATGAAGAATTCAATGGATTCAGTAATGTGGAATGAGATTGGTGAATTTACCAGTAACTTGCTTGTCGGACTCATTGGCTTGTTATGTTACTGTTCAAGATCCCAGATATGTTCTGTGTGTTATTGTCATTTCAGATTAAATATCTGTTCTTGTACTTTGTGAAATACATACCATACCATTTTATTTATAGAGCACTTAAAACAGCTACAAGGCCAAAGTGCTGTACAGACAGAAAAACAGGCAACACACAAAGCAATACAAAATGAAGTAAATCAGAATATAGACATAAAAATGTTGCAGATAATAAATATGACGACTAACCAGTGTGAAGCGTACAGGTTCAAAACACAGATCATCTGGTGTTGAAAGCTACGGAATAGTAGTGGGTTTTAAAACGGGACTTGAAAACCGAGAAGGAGGGGGCCTGTCTGACAAGCAGAGGTAACTCATTCCAGAGTCTTGGTCCTGCTACAGAGAAGGCCCTGTCACCTCTGCGCTTCAGACAAGTTCCTGGAACTGTGAGGAGCAACTGGTCCTCCGACCTCAGGGAACGTGGTGGGACATATGGCTGTAGCAAATCAGAGAGATAGGTGGGGGCGAAACTGTTCTGCGATTTGTAGACATACAGGAGTATTTTGAACTGGATTCGAAGGTGAACCGGTAGCCAGTGCAGGGAGGCCAAAACTGGTGTAGTGTGCTCTATTTTGCCTGTACTGGTTAAAAATTGGGCTGATGCATTCTGGACCAGTTGTAGTCGTGCAATGGAGGTCTGACTGATACCAAACAGAAGCAAATTGCAGTAATCAAGCCTAGATGTAATGAATGCATGTATTACTGTCTCCAGGTTATTTTTGGATAATATGGGCTTCAACTTAAAAAGTCGCCTCAGTTGGAAAAAACAGGATTTAACAATCATGTTTACCTGACTGTTGAGTTTCATGGAAGGGTCCATTATCACTCCCAGATTTGTGATCCTTTGTTTTTTTGACAGGGCTAGAGCTGAAAGGTCGATGCAGTGGTTCGTTATCATGTCATTGGGAGGGAACAACATGACTTCAGACTTCTTTTCATTGAAACTTAAGAAATTTAAAGCCACCCAGTCCCTGATGTCAGCCAGGCAGTCGAGCAGAGGATGAATAGAGCATGTACCATTGTATCTTAGGGGGAAGTAAATTTGACAGTCATCAGCGTAGAAGTGAAAGGGTATGTTGTGTTTCTGGAAAATAGCACCAAGTGGCAGCAGGTATAAAGAGAATAGTAGGGGACCCAGGATGGACCCCTGCAGACCCCCCTATTTAAGCTCTGCCGCTGCAGAACTAAAATATTTGATGGAAACACAAAAGGATCTGTCAGCGAGGTAGGATCTGAACCAATTGAGGGCTGACCCTGTGATGCCCAACCACTGCTCTAACCTAGCAATGAGGATCTCATGGTCGATTGTGTCAAAGGAGGCTGTGAGGTCCAATAGGACAAGCAGCACAGAATCACTAGTATCTGTGGATCTGAAGATGTCATTAAAGACCTTCAATAGGGCACTGGATTATTGAGCATGCATCAGGATACTTCAATAGGGCAGTTTCAGTGCTATGGAGAGGTTTAAAGCCAGATTGGAATAGCTCTAAGATAGCGTGACCCTCCAGGAAGCACTTCAACTGGGACTCAACTATTTTCTCCAGTACTTTAGAAACAAATGGGAGTCTGGAGACAGGCCAGAAGTTGGATATGACTGAGGGGTCAAGGTTTGTTTTTTTAGGAGAGGTTGAACAGCAGCATGTTTAAAAGTTTTTGGCACCATGCCAGTGGATAAACTGCTATTCACAATAGTGAGAATGGACGGACCTAGAGTAGGAAAAGCCTCCTTTAGTAGTCGAGGGGGGACCACATCAAAGGGGGAACCAGAAGGTTACGTCTAAAAAAATGTGACTTATACTCCGAATCAACTTTTTTCCTCTTCATGAGGCTTTTTTTGACTGATGCGACCTATACTCCGGTGCGACGTATAATCTGGAAAATACAGTACTACTAAAGTATGTTGAGATTTTTGTTTACATTTTTTCTTCTTTTAGCTGCTCCCTTCTTCAGGAGTCGCCACAGCAAACTAACTCGGACGAAGACATGGCAATCGTTTTTATGCCGGAAGCCCTTGCTGACGCAACTACAGACCACTGAGCTACCACAGCCCTGTGTGTGGAGCTGAGAGCTGCTATCTGGTGCCCAGGGGAGTAGATGGTGGGGGTTAAGGGCCTTGCTCAAGGGCCCAGAGTGGGACAGCTCCTGAAAGAGTCTGCCACTCAGTAGCTTGGACATTCCAAGTAGTCCAAAAAATGGCTGATTGAGAACATTTGTATATAGTCAACTTTATATAAAATGCAATATACTTAGTAAATTACATTTTTTTTTTTTTTTTTGCCTTTTTTATTGTAAAAGTTGCAGATAACCAAGTATTTTGGTGGACAACCAGATTCTGTTAAGAGGACAACCTGAATAATGTCCTTATGTCTACCCCTGAAGAAGTATTCAAATATAAACAGATAAATGATGAGAGACAAACATCTTATTCAGAATGACTCATCTTGGTCACATCAGTGTCCCCTTTTCCCCACCATTTTACTGACTGGAGCTGCAAGAACAAGTACATGTCTCATGGACATTAAAAATAACCTATTAAAATAAAGTGCATGTCAATGTTACTCTTGTGTTCCACACTCCAGTAGGTGGTGGTAATGTGCTGGTTTGCCATCTGCCAGTACAGTAAACCCAAAAGAAGACAATTACGCTGATATCACCACCATGTGTTGATTAGTTTTTAGTTAGCTAAATTCATTCATTCAACCTTTATTTAGACAGGTAAATCCCATTGAGCCTCGAGAACTCATTTACAAGAGAGACCTGAAATTAGCGTTTTCTCTTTTGTTTGTCAGTTTCCTGCTGAAAAAGTGGTGAATAAAATCAAAAACAACTCATTAAAAAGAAGACAGGTTTTCAGGTATGAAACATTAGCTACATAATATGTGGAACAAGTAAACTAAAAACTGTTGCTAGGGAAACAATGCAACATGTAGTTTTGATCCTCTTTATGTCTTTGTATGTGGTGAACTAAGCTAAACCATATTATACCAAGGTTCCTGGCTCCAGGTACATCTGGTTCCTACTAAATGTTCTTGTAACTGACACATAAAATAACAAAACTGTGCCTTCAAATAAAACAATATTTACAGTTGCAGGTGTGTTACCTTGACATTGATGAGAAGCTCCCAAAAGTTGCGTGGAGGCATCACGATGGTGGTGTTGAGCTCAATGACGTAGCACTTGTCCAGAGCAATGTCATGGTAGGCTGTCAGTCCCTGAAAGAACAAGAAGAAAATATATAATGATGCATGCTCAATAATCCAGGTAGAAAAATCTAAAAAAAAAAAGTTGTCTGGTCCTCTGGACATTCAAAAAACAAAAACAAAAATAAATAAATAAATAAATTTTTAAAAAATGTAGAAACGTTTCGTCTTTCATCCGAGAGATTTCCTCAGTCTGAGGTGCTGTTTTCAGCTCAATCTCTTAAATAGCACCTTCTCAGAGTGGATCAACCAGTTTGATGCCGACAACCAAAACCAGCTGATCACATGCTCAAGAAGGACCATCAGCCTAACAATGGATCATTAGCACACTGATGGCTGTTTACTATTCACAGAGGGCTGAGTGATACTAGCAATCACAGCATTGTAAGAGGGGGACAGTTGAACCCGGAGGCCTCCACCCTGTTTAATGATGGACGGTTTCTTTTCACAAAGATGGCCTCCTTTACTCCTCTCTCAAACCATTGTTCCTCTCTGTCCAGGATGTGAACATCTTCATCCTTGAAAGAGTGACCGCTGGCCTGGAGATGAGTGTAGACCGCAAAGTCCTGGCCTGATGATGTTGCTCTTCTGTGCTGGACCATCCTTTTGGCCAGTGGCTGTTTTGTTTCCCCGATGTAAGACTGATCACCCTCCTGACACTGAACAGCATACACAATATTACTCTGTTTGTGCCGGGGGACTGGATCTTTGGGATGAACCAGTCTTTGCCATAATGTATTTTGGGGTTTAAAAGCCACTGGGACGTTATGTTTAGAAAATAAACGTCTCAGTTTCTCTGATACTCCCTCAACATATGGAATGACCACTGGTCTGGGTCTGGGTTCCTCCTTTTCACCTGATGGCTGACTGGAGTCCTGTTTGGGTTTCTTCTCTGCTTTCAGGAAAGCCCAGTTAGGATATCCACATTGCTCCAGAGCCTGTCTTGTGTGGGATTTCTCCTTCTGCCTGGCTCCTGAGTTAGTGAGGACGCTGTCTGCTCTGTGATACAGAGTCCTGATGACTCCTAACTTGTGCTCCAAAGGGTGATGGGAGTCAAACTGCAAATACTGGTCTGTGTGGGTGGGTTTGCGGTACACCTCAGTTTGCAAATGTCCTCTATCAGAAACTGAGACCTCACAGTCCAAGAAAGCCAACCTGCCATTTTTTACATCTTCTCGTGTGAACTTGATGTATTTATCCACAGAGTTGATGTGGTCAGTAAAATGTTGGACTTCCTGAGATTTAATTTTAACCCAGGTGTCGTCAACATACCTGAACCAATGACTTGGTGGTGTCCCTGAAAAGGACGTCAAGGCTCTCTTTTCTACCTCCTCCATGTACAGGTTGGCAACAATAGGAGAAACTGGAGACCCCATAGCACACACATGTTTCTGCCTATAATATTGCTCCCCATATGTGAAGTAGGTTGACTGCAGGCACAGTTTCAAGAGTTGACACAGTTGTTCTGTGGAAAGCGTGGTCCTGCTGCACAGAGTGGTGTCTGATTTTAATTTTAAACTGACCACCTCTACTGCATCATCAACAGGAATGCACGTAAAGAGTGATGTGACATCAAAAGAGACCATTGTTTCATCAGTCTCCATGATGACATCCCTCACCTTATCCACAAAGTCCATGGTGTTCTGTATGTGGTGTTCTGAGCTGCCAACTAAAGGGATGAGTACAGACGTCAGATATTTGGAAACATTGTAAGTGACAGAGTTAATCATGCTAACGATTGGTCTTAAAGGTACACCTTGTTTGTGGATTTTAGGTAAACCATACAGACTAGGTGAAACACTAAAATGAAGAAGACACGTTTTTATGGGACATGTCATGTGGGGAGAAAATCTTTTTTTTGGTTGCCTTTTGAAGAGACGGAAGCAAAAAACATGCATGGTATGTTTTTCTTTGTAGAATAAAAATAAACTTGGGGAACAAAATGACCGTTTTCCTTTTTCCCCACACAAACAATCCCTGTTCTCCATACAACTATGGAAGTAGGCTGTCTGTAGCCAAAAAGAAAAAACGTCCCTGATATGGGATTTTGGTTTTAAACCAAGGAGTTAGGCGTTAGCATAATATAAACCAGCTGACAAACTATTATACAGAAATCTATGGCAATAGTCCCGAGAGGAAGAGATCCTGTATAAGCTTTGACTTTAATATGTGACCTTGATCTTGGAACTGGGGGTTATGAAAAGTGATGCAACACTGAGTATGTGTAACAGGTTTCATCAAATTATCTTCAGTGCATCAGAAGTTATGACCCAGACAAGAGAAAGTTTACGTACGTACACAGACAATACCTTAATACATCAGTCTTTTGATGGGCGCACCAAAATAAACAGATCTGGGCTGATTTGAAGAGCTACAGGAAACATGCTGAGAACAGGCATGTGGTCATCCTTATTGCCAAAGCACAAAGTGGATTGAAAGTTGAAACCTGCAGGATCAGGCTTACAAACGTTTTTCCTGACAAGCTACGGTACACTGAGGAGCTGAAGCACATGGGGGAGGAGGTGGAGACGAGAAAAGGTGTTGCCACAGACAATTTTGTGCTGGTTCAATTAGAAATCCATGGTTTTACTGTTAGGGACCAAAACGTTAATGCAGCAGCAAATGAACAATGACAGAGAAAATGGGGGTTTAGATTCATTAAGCCTCTCCACGAGCGGTGCCTGAACTCAGAGATGTGAGCTCTGCGGGGTGCAAGAGGAAAACTGCTACTGAAAACGGTTCTATAATTAAAATAAATGCATTTCTTTAATTTATCAAGTAGTCAGTGTTGCATAACTTGGATTGTGTAAGCCACTGTGGTGCTGATTAACTCCAACTGTTAGCCTGCAAGGAAAAAATGTACGCCAGATTCATTTAATCTGGTAGTCAGCCAAAAATAATAAAAGTCAACAATGTTTATGTTGTCTGTTAACAGTCTTATGGGCTGAACGTTTAAGAAAAGCACATTACAGTAGTCCCTCACTACTTTGTGGTTCGTTTTTCACGGACTCGCTCTGTCACGGTTTGTTTAAGTACAATACTGTACTGTACATGTACATAATATAAAAATAAAATGTTAAAAAAACACAGCCATTTTGTAGTTTTCTTTCATCAAGCCTTCACTGTTTTGCCAGTCTAAAAAACTAGGTTACCCAGAAGCCATCACTTCACTTCCCAGAAGTCAGCACTACTCTTTCAACCACTGCTTGCTGCAAACAAAGTGAAAGTTTTGCAGCAAAGTCAGAAGTTCTGTTGCTCACAGAACTGGCAGGAAAGTATCAAATAAATCTGAAGCTGAACTCATCCTTCCAGTTGTATCTTCACTGCTGAGTACCTGGGCTGCAGCTGATCTGGACTCTGTGTGACCCGGATCCTGGGAGCTGCAGACGACAGACGGCTGCAGGATTCAGCATGGTTCTGTTCGCACAGTGCTGGTCTGGACCGGGCCAGAGGTGGTGGACTAAATCCTGGGCAGCAGCACATGCACATCAATCTGGATGGAGCGGTGGGCTTCAGTCATGCTGTACCAGGACTTTTTTCATCTATCGGGTCGGACCGGAACCGAGCCACTCCTGTACTGCAGAGCCTGGTAAGTAAAATTTAGTAGCTATACATACTTATATGTAGCATGTTGTTAAAATTAGTAGGTTTAAGAGGTTAGAGGACTGATGTGTGGGCTTCATTGCTGCAGGGTGGGTCTGTAGAAACGAACCGAGTCAGAATGCAACACAGTTGGACCGGAACCAGAACTGTCACAGTTCTGCAGAGCTAGTAAGTAAAATTTAGTAACATATGTTGTGAAAATGACGTATGTTTAAGAGTTTAGAACATTCCAAGAGTGTGGGAAGGGTTTCTAAAGCCTTAATATAAAGTTGAATGTATCTGAACTTAAACTTGAACTACTGTATCCCTACTTCGTGGTTTTTCACTTTTCGCAGGGCTTCAGGGTACAAATCCCCCACGCTAAATGAGGGACTACTGTAGTGAACGTTTGTAGTTTTGGTGAGGAGTTTTTTCTGGACTGAAATTAACAGGGGCTGCAAGTAAACCTTGATGTTTTGGTCTAACAAGGCTGAGTCAGGTCCTCTGGACAGACTGTTGAAATGTTTCGTCTTTTATCCAAACATCTCTTCCCAAAAGACTTCTCCAGTCTGAGGATCTGCAACAAACTCAGACTTACCTTCTCATAGTGGTAATAGTCTCATAGTAGTTCAACCAGTTTGCTGGTGACATCCAGAACTAGATGTTCACATGCAAAAGGATGACCATCAGCCTAACAATTGGTTGTTAGTGCTCTGATGGCTGCTTGCTATTTATAAGAGCTGAGTGGGCTGACGGCTTAATGTTTTTGGCACACGATCAAGTGGGCAGGAGTTACACTGTGGAAGAGAACAGAGGAAGCTTTCATTCTTTCAGTTGTCCAAAGCAGCACAGAATGACAGATACTGGCAAGTGGAGGGAGCAATTTTATCTACTACCAGGAACAGTGATGTAGCCAAGGGGTGGCCAAAGGTGGCCTTGGCCACCATAGATTAATCGTCAGCCACCCCAATCATTTGAGGAAACTATACTTTTAAGCAATGTAAAAACTAAAAGTCTAAGTTTGAGGAAACTAGAAAAAAGAGTTTCCTTAAATTATAAAGGTGGCCATGGATGGATGGATGGACGGACCAACAGAGGTTATTTCCAAGTCCTCATTGGTTTGGGACAAAAATAAAATCTTGATCAGGACCCCTACTATATGTGTCTGTTCAAAATGTTTTTGTTTTAAATTTTTTTATTCAAACCTGAAAAATCTGGAACGCTCACATTTCTGGGACTGGGCTAATTAAAAAAGCTACAACGAAACAAAACATGATTATACAACTGGGCAAGTCAGCTGTTCAGATCATTCTTAACCCTTCGTTTGTTCTCTTCAAACTATATTTTAATTTATATGCATCTCTTTGCTCTGACCTTGTGGAAATCGTGGATGATGTCAGCGGGGTCGTTGCCTCTGAAGTGAGGGACGGGAATGCTGATCTTCTCGTAGTTGTCGGCCAGGTAGATGCCGACGTTCTCCTCCAGCTCCTGGTGCCCACGGAGCGAGGCGTAAGCAGAGTCGTCGTAACGAACCCTGCAGTGAAACAGGTTCTCCTCTGGGATCTACACACACAATTTCCGATTCAGATCAACAAATCAGGAAACAAAGGCTGTACCAGAAATAAACTGAACGACAGAATAACTGCAATCTGAAACCCAAAAGATGACATCTCACATGAGGTATGAAGTAGTAGCGGTAGACGTAAATGGAGGCCAGAACCAGACCGGCCATAAAGACTACCAGTCCAAATGTCAGGCAGCAAAGCCCGTTAAGGGGCGACTTCTTCGGGCGCAATGGCAGAACCAGCTCATCTTCATCCTGCAGAAACGCACACAACATACATTTACTCATAAAAAAATAAAATGAAAAAACTTCAAAAGAAAAACCGTGTCCTGCAAAAATCTATCCAGCCTACTCATCTTAACCCCAACGAGCCACCAGTTAATATGAATTAACTTACAGCTGAATTATCAGCACCGAGCCGGGCCAGACCAACGGATGCAAACAAAAACCTGAGCGGGATGGGAGAAACCTGCCAGCACGCCTCCAGTCTCACAGCCCATCTGCCAGCGCCACGCGCACCAACCTGCGTGGGCCGAGTGGCACTACACTGATAGTTGCTGCTCAGCGTGGGCCTCCATTTATACGCAAAGACGACTAACAGAAGCAGCTCCGCTCCTGCTGTAAATGTTCTGCTGAGAGACACAGGGAGGTAAAACCATCTCGTTCTTGAAAGGAAACAACCAAAGGATGCTATTCTTAGCTGGAGAAAAGATGGGAGGACGTGGTGACCGTACTGCTCTTACAGCGAACTTCAAAAGCAAGAGATGACAGCCCTTTGTTCTTTAAAGCCATTAACCAAAACAGGCGCAGAGGCTCAGTGTGTGTGCTTCTACGGAGTTCGTCCTTCGTGGAAACGTTTGGAGACAGGGCGCAAAGGAACGTGAACAGGACCGGCGTAGGTAATTGGGAGGGTCTGGAGATTTCCTGATGGGCCGGTCTGATGTGTGGGCTGCAGGGCCGGCACTCCCCGTTTGTTTGTTTTTTTAGAACTTTTTATTTACAACACATAAACGCAGAACACCACTGCTGCTGCTGCTGGGCCGCCCTGCCTTCACCCAGGGCAGCAGCTCTCGTTTTATTTATTTATTTATTTCACGAGTCCCGCGACGCGACCTGTCAATCAATCCAGTAGGCATGTCAGCAAATGACCATTCGGTAACCTCAATTTGTCCTGAAGTTAAATATCCCTTACCTGCAGAGCTGCACGCTGCAGCCCATGGGGGAGTTTCTTTGTACGCTTGGCGGTCAGAGATTTTGTGAAAAATCATCAGAAAAAAAAAACCGGTTAAACTTGTCAGTGGAGGACAGGCAATCTAGACACGTGTTACCCTGAGAGCTTAGAGGGTGGGATACAGTTTATTCCATTTCAAAAACTAAACAGAGTCTGAAAAAGATGTAAAGCTGGCAACCGACCCCATCAGCTGATCACAAGTTATAAACAGGAAGTAGCTACCACATGTTCATCTCTACGAAAGTAGCTGCAGGCAAATCCTCCATTTTCTGTCATAATTACATTGTATGCTTAATGGTTGAATGAAAGGTTAATGCTTAGTTCAAGTTTAAATTGTGTTTATTTGTCATACGCAGGTTAACAGTACAATAAAATGTTCTGGATGAAAATAACTGATTTGACTCACTAAAAGAACAAACAAAACAAGAAATACTATAGTATTCAATAAGGGTACAAAATAAAGTACCAAAAAAGTGAAAAAGTAAACACAATATTTACAAGGTCCAAAAGAAAAAAATAGTAAACAACAACATGGTAGAATATAATGGTGCAAGTAGGATGAATTTGTATGAATAAGTATTTCAGTAATTTGAGCTCATATATACTGCACATAACTAACAAACTACACAAGTTGTGTGACAGGTTATTGCACAGGTAGTGAGTAACATTGAGAAGAATTATGATGATAGAGTAGATGTATGTATATATGATACAGCCACATAATGCATTAGCAATAAAAATATTAGCTGCCACAAGCTAATATTAGTCATATTAGTTGTCACAGATGTGGCTTGGTGCAAAGTTATATCCAGTTGTTCAGTGTTATTTATTGAGAGTTCAGTAATCTGACAGCTTATGGATAATAACCGTCTTTGAGTCTTTTTGTACATAATGGCAGACTCTTGTATCGTCTGCCTGAGAGTAGTAGATGGAAGAGTCCTTGTGCTGGGTGGGTGTGGTCTTTAATGATGCTGCGTGCTTTACGCAGACATCGGCTGTGATAGATGTCCTGCATGGTGTGGAGACTGCGACCAGTGAGGTCCTCTGCTGTTTGCACCACCCTCTGTAGAGCTTTCTGACTGGTGCAGTTCCCGTACCACACGTGATGCAGCCTGTCAGCAGGCTCTTAATGGTGCACCTATAAAAGTTTGTGAGGATGCTGGTGTTTGTATCAAACTTCTTTAGTCTCCATAGGAACTAGAGTCTTTGTCGGGTTTTCTTGACCACAGTGTTTGTATGTAAAGTCTAGGATAGATCCTCAGTAATGTGAACGCAGAGGAACTTGAAGCTGCTGCTGACCTGCTCCACCTCAGCGTTGTTTATCTAGATGGTGGAGTGCTGGTCTCCACGCTGTTTCCTGAAATCCACTATCATCTCCTTCGTTTTTCTGACATTGAGAGAGGCTATTTTCTTAACAGCAGCTGGTCATTGATTTCACTTCATCTCTGTAGGGACTCTAATTTTTGTTGGTGATGAGGCCCAAGATGGTGGTGTCATCAGTATAATTGAGGTTGACGTTGGAACTGTGCTTGTGGGTACAGTCATGTGTGACTAGAGAGTACAAGAGTGGACTGAGAACACAGCCTTGAGGTGTACCGGCGCTGAGGACTAGTATGGAGGAGAGGTGACCAATGTTCCCTCTAATTTTTAATGTGTCTGGGCAAACACACAAGTTCCCTGAGCGCACGGAGGACCACTGTGAGCAACATCAGATGTGCACGCTGTGGCCACACACCAATATCACACCTGTTCAAAATCTGGGATCATAGCAAGTTACATGGCTTATTAAAATAATCAAATTACAGCAGCAATTTCTATTGGTTTACTTTTAATATAAGTGATTTGGCCCACTTCAAATGAAAAAGACAATTATCTTGTTGTTCATGAGATGTGTAGTATGTTAAATGTGAGACTCCTGCTTTGGTCTGGGTGAATAAATAAATAAAAGCTGACAAAAATAAGGATAGACATTGTTCACTGACTAAAAATGAAAACAGAAACTGAATCTCACCACGGGATGACACCATGCACAATGAGGGCAAACACAAAAGGTCATTGCTAAAGAGGCTGGCTGTTCACAGAGCTCTGTGTCCAAGCAAATTAATAGAGAAGCGAAGGGAAGGAAACGATGTTGTAGAAGAAAGTGTACAAGTAATAGGGATAACTGCACCCTGGAGAGGACTGTGAAACAAAACCCATTCCAAAATGTGGGGGATATTCCCAAAGAGTCTACTGCAGCTGGAGTCAGTGCTTCCAGAACCACCATGCACAGACATATGCAAGACATGGGTTTCAGCTGTTGCATTCCTTGTGTCAAGTCACTCTTGAACAAGAGACGGCGTCAGAAGCATCTTGTCTAGGACTGCTGCTGAGTGGTCCAAAGTTATGTTCTCTGATTAAAGTGCATTTTGCATTTCCTTTGGAAATCAAGGTCCCAGAGTCTGGAGGAAGAGAGGAGAGGCACAGAATCCACGTTGCTTGAGGTCCAGTGTCAAGTTTCCACAGTCAGTGATGGTTTGGGGTGCCATGTCATCTGCTGGGTGAGGATCCAGTTGTGGCTTGGGTCAGGATCCTGCTCGGGAAGATGGTTAGCAACACAGTGGTTATTGGTGTCAGAAGCACATTTGTAATGTGGATCACCCCCAATGCTTCTGACACCAATGGTCATCGCACTGTTCAAGCCAAGAGCCATTGTCAGCAATGGGGGCTAAAGCGCCCCTAAAGGGCATATTCTAGAATCACCCCTGATGTAAGATTATAATTACATGATTTTAATAATAATACGTCGTGATCTAAGGTGGGCCACTCTGAGGCATGAAACTCCAGGGCTGAAAATGAGTCCCACTCCGGCCCTGGACGTGAACGCAACAGTGGACGTGCAAAGACACTTTCCTTTGAGTTCTTTGTGTTCCTTCATCCCACTGAGAAGGATAGAGGCTCTTTCACACCAGCTGACGGCGTGACTCACCATGAGGCCGGTCCATTCTCCCTTTGACACATTTTGGAGCAGCACAAACACGTCCTTAAGAGATTTGTTCACTCTCTGCACAGTCCCAGGCTCATAACATCCCACTTACAGGTCCTCATCTGCAGGGCTCTGCTATGTAGCACTGAGGGTGAGGCAGGGATGCTGCCACAGCAAAGTTCAGGACCCTCCCCGGTCGAGCTGGGACAATAATCCTGCACGCACTGCAAGCTCCAGCATCTCATCTGCCATTTTGTCAGCCGGAGCAAAGCTTTATCTTGGATTACAGTAACGCGTGGGATTTATTTAATTGAAGCACCCTAAACAACCAAATCTACAATGGTTACATCACGCCATGTTGACATTTGCATTAAAGAGGTAAAAGCTGCAAACAAGGAGCATGCATTTGCAGATTCCAATAACTTGCGCCAAGCTGAAGTGGCGCAAACAGCAATTTTTGTTTCCCAGCAAAAAAATAAATAAAACGGCGATAGATGCTGATCAAATAAATAAATAAATAAATAAATAAATAAATAAATAAGTCAAACGGCAGTAGATGCAGGCTCCATGTTCCATTAAAAGCTGACAAAAACACGGGCAGACATCGTTCACCGACTGAAAATGAAAACGGAAACTGAATCTCACCACGGGATGAGGAATCAGGATCTCCGTCTTGTCGCCATCAGCCTCCTTCTCCACCTTCTGCCCTGCGACAGGCTGGAAGCTGATCTTCACCATGGCTCGAGTCGATGTTCTCCTTCCCGCTGCAGGTGTCCGCTGAGCCCCGGGACCTGACGCTGACAAACAAACACGGCTGTCCTCCTGCTGATCCGTCCTCCTGCTGATCCGTCCTCCTGCTGATCCGTCCTCCTGCTGATCCGTCCTCCAGTCCTCGCTCGCCTCTTTTTGTCTCGCGTCCACCGGAAACGCGCCAGGACTGCCCTTTTTTTTTTTTATCCCTCAGTCAATTTGTCTCTTAAAGGAGCAGTTATTTATTTTAATAAGTACCAAGCAAGCACAAATTAAAGAGTGATTTATTCTACCTATAATTATATATTTTACCAAACAGTTTATTAGTAAAAATCTTAAAATAGACACAGGACTAAACGGGAGCATTTGCTCATTTTAGCTACATAAAATAAAGGTTACTGTAAAAAAGCTTCAAACACTTCTATTTTCTAATATTTGCTGTCAAGAAGCCTGAACGCTCAAATGTTAGCTACCAAACAAGTTTAGTTCGCTAGCATGTAGTTTAGTTACTTCTTGTCACAATTTTGTCCCCATTTATTTATTTATTTCAACAAAAATAGTTTGACATGAAAAATTTATTTTAACGCTAAATCCCAAAAAAGTATACAATGAAAATGTCTCAAGTGTGAATACTCAAGCATTAATTTAAAAAAAATTAAGCAGGGGTGCCATCAGAGGGGAGGAAATAGCCACCCCTAAAAAAAAATGGTGCCCCCCCCACTGGCCTCCCTTTCCCAGACAGTTTTACCATCTTGAGTTACGAGCATTTGGGCTTTTGCTTGGTGCATTTTTATTTCAGTAGTTGTTTAGGTTTAGTCAGACATGCCCAAACCACCTCAACTGGCTCCTCTCGATGTGGAGAAGTGGTTCTACTCTGACTCTCTCCCAGATAACTGAACTTCTCATCCGGTTTGTATGTATATATAAATATGTGTGTGTGTGTATATATATATATATATATATATATATATACAAACCGGATTCCAAAAAAGTTGGGACACTAAAATTGTGAATAAAAACTGACTGCAATGATGTGGAGGTGCCAACATCTAATATTTTATTCAGAATAGAACACAAATCACAGATCAAAAGTTTAAACTGAGAGAATGTATCATTTTAAGGGAAAAATCTGTTGTTTCCAAATTTCATGGCATCAACAAATCCCCAAAAAGTTGTGACAAGTCCATTTTTACCACTGTGTGGCATCCCCCCTTCTTCTTACAACACTCAACAGACGTCTGGGGACAGAGGAGACCAGTTTCTCAAGTTTAGAAATAGGAATGCTCTCCCATTCATGTCTAATACAGGCCTCTAACTGTTCAATCGTCTTGGGCCTTCTTTGTCGCACCTTCCTCTTTATGATGCGCCAAATTTTCTCTATAGGTGAAAGATCTGGACTGCAGGCTGGCCATTTCAGTACCTGGATCCTTCTCCTACATAGCCATGATGTTGTGATTGCTGCAGAATGTGGTCTGACATTATCGTGTTGAAAAATGCAGGGTCTTCCCTGAAAGAAACGACGTCTAGATGGGAGCATATGTTGTTCTAGAACCTGAACATAGTTCTCTGCATTAATGGTGCCTTTCCAGACATACAAGCTGCCCATGCCTCAAGCGCTCATGCAACCCCATACCATCAGTGATGCAGGCTTCTGAACGGAGCGTTGATAACAACTTGTGCTATCCTTGTCCTCTCTGGTCCGGATGACATGGCGTCCCAGTGTTCCATAAAGAACTTCAAATCGTGACTTATCTGACCACAGAACAGTCTTCCATTTTGCCACACTCCATTTTAAATGACCCCTGGCCCAGTGCAAACGTCTGAGCTTGTGGAGCTTGCTTAGAAATGGCTTCCTCTTTGCACTGCAGAGTTTCAGCTGGCAACGGTGGATGGCACGGTGGATTGTGTTCACTGACGATGCTTTCTGGAAGTATTCCTGAGCCCATTCTGTTATTTCCTTGACAGTGGCATTCCTGTTTGAGGTGCAGTGATGTTTAAGGGCTCGGAGATCACGAGCATCCAGTAGAGTTTTACGGCCTTGACCCTTACGCACAGCGATTGTTCCAGATTCTCTGAATCTTTTGATGATGTTATGCACGGTTGATGACGATAACTTAAAAGTCTTTGCTATTTTACGCTGGGTAACACCATTCTGGTATTGCTGCACTATCTTTCTGCGCAACAATGGTGGAATTGGTGATCCTCTTACCATCTTGGCTTCTGAGAGACACTGACCCTCTGAGAAGCTCTTCTTATACCCAATCATGTTGTCAGTTGACCTAATTAGTGTTAATTGGTCTTCCAGCTGTTTGTTATATGCTCAATTTCCTTTTTCCAGCCACTTATTGCTACTTGTCCCAACTTTTTTGGGATTTGTTGACACTGTGAAATTTTGAATCAACATATTTTTCCTTTAAAATGTTACATTTACTCAGATTAAACTTTTGATCTGTCATCTATGTTATATTACGAATAAAATATTGACATTTGCCATCTCCACATCATTGCATTCAGTTTTTATTCACAATTTGTTTAGTGTCCCAACTTTTTTGGAATCCGGTTTGTGTATACATTATCTATATATATATATATATATATATATAACAAACTCTGGGCAGTATATTATATATTGAATTGGATTTTGACCTGACAACCAAATTATAAACTGTGATCTATCTTTATGTATAGATGTAACCAAACATCAAGTTATCATGCTCTCAGCAAGCACGCACAGATGGACAGAGTGCATTTCTTATTCCCCCTCTTTGCTCCACGACGAGGGACAAAAACATTATCCCTCACCTTCGACCTCCGGGGATAATTACGGCATGTTAATGTGGAGGAGTGTCATGATTTTACCAATCATCAAAGGCAAATTCAAAAAGTAAATGAGCTCAAACATTTGAGTGTTTATGACTCATATCGGGAGAACATTGAAAATTATCTCCCCAGGTTTGCAAACAGCATTAACTAATACTGGGATTTTCAAATCTCAGTTGAAACAACTATCGTTATTTAAACCATTCGAACTTTAGTCATTGGGTAGAAACTAAAAGCAAATGTGCCAATGTTTTTAACATTTTCTGTGCTCTCTAAAAAAAATAATTAAATTTGGTTAAATTTAACTACTGTACCGTATCAGGCTAATTATTGTACACACAAAGACAGTGACAACAGTTTTAGTCCCAAATGTTTTTATTTTAATAGTTGGGCCCAGGCCTTTGACACATCTGAAAGCACCCACACACTCTTTGCTGAAACTGGAGTTAAACATCAGCATACAGCCACAGCCAAGACGTCTATATGCTAGTTCAATGGTTTTTTTAATGCTTGGAGGGTAAACGGAAACAATTCCAGTACAATATTTTTAGTATAGCATCATGCAGTCAGTGGAGGAACATGCCTGATGAATGTGGATGGAGGAACACCGGGCTCTTAGTGTCATCTACCCTCAGACTGTTTTAAGTTTGATTAAAATGTGTCGCTCTGCGCTGAGAATGAAGAAAATCTCTTCCGTCAGCTTTTGTCTGCTTTATGGAGAAGATCTAACACACCCAAAACACTCTGCTACCCACAATGCTTTACACTCACCATTGTACTGGAATTACAACCCTCTGCAGAAGACTCAAATGCAACAAAATGTTCACGGTAAAGATAGAATTACCAATTTCTCGAAATCATAATCAGGTCCCACCTAAAGCACACAAACTGTGGGGCAACATGGCACTCTGAAGTCCCTAACCAGGGTGGTGAAAATGAGGCGGGAGGGGGTAAACAACTGAAAACTGGGGGTAAACTTCTCACCACGCCGACCACAAGTCAGTTGAAATCAATCACCCAGCATGTCACAAAGTGCAACCACACAGGCGTCAACGTTTGAGTTGAAGGCGCTGCTCTCCTGCACATTTTCAGCAGTTACTCAAAATGTACGATGTGTTAAGATGAACAGACCCAGAGCTATTATTACCATGACATTCTTCTGCTGTACAAATTGTTAATATTCCTATAGGTTAAGCTAAACGTGAGCCGGCGCTTTATGTACAAACAAACCCACCAGCAATCACTTCAGCACTAAATGAAATGCACAATGTCACTTCTCTTATGGTTTAGAAAGTAACTTGATAACAAATAACCAAAAACATTTTGTTTAAGGTAATATATATAATATGTTCATTAGCCAAAGTTAAACAAAAATCTATAGAGCAAAAAGGAAAAAAAAGGCATATGTACATGTTCACCCTGTCCCAGAAAAAAAAAAAAAAAAAAAAGACCCAAACCCTGGGTTTTAATTAACTGATACCGTACACCCCTCCCCCACTTTCGTATGTGCTTTAAGTGCTGCCTCTCAACAAAGCACGGAGGAGGTACATGCTTCTGCGTGGTGGCATCACAGCTTTTCGCTGTAAAATTAATTACTGGAAACTGTGGCGGTTGCTGTGATGCGCAGACGTCCGAGTCTGTGACATTAAAAGGTGAGAGCCAGACTCTCCGTGAGAGCGCCCACACCGAGTACAGCCGTGGATCCGTCACGTTTCACAGCATGCAACAATCAGTTCGTCGTGCTCGTACCACTTCCACACAACGTCCTAAGCGACATTCCTGCAGCGTGCGCGTGAATTCACGCCTTACGGAGACCTCGGGTGATGCTTATTGCATCCGAGCCTGCCTTAATTCAATGCATGGGCATTTTATTTCACATTGTTTCATGGACTGTTGGGTTAAAATAATATACCTTTAATGTCTTCATGTGCAAGAAAGCAGCAGCAACTACTATTTTTTTTATTTATTTCTTTTTAAGTAAAAACAAAGGAAAAAAAAACTAATCTCGAGGAGCAGATGGGCTTGAAACATCCTGGCAAGTTGATGAGTTTTCTTGTTTTTCTTTGTTCCTCAGTTTTTGTTCGAAAAAGCAGAAATGCTGCTGCTGATGGGTCCGTTAAGTACACATGGTCTGGATGTGGTCCAGACCTGGTACTGATGGCTCAGTCCTGCACATGTACACGCTCTCAGGCCTCCTGGGGTGCAGGCCTCTTCAGGTCCCTGATCTGTTTGATTAGGTACGTCTTCTCGTCGTTGAACTGCTCGTCCTCTGTCCTGTCGTTCTGGAACTTGCTGAGAAACTCGATGAGTTTGGTCTGGTTCTTCAGCAGGATGTCCAGGATAGGCTGCGTCTTGTTGGGGTTGGCCACAAACACCTGGCGGATGACAAGGAAGGAGGAAATAAAAAGAAGTTAGTTACTACATTTAATATAGTGCTTCTTTACAGTCAATGGGTAGTTCATATTATTTTAGTACTCTATCCACCTCTGCCCGAATGATTTAAAACTAAATGTTTGGTTCGCTGAGCAGAAAAATATTACACACAAACGAACCACAATTTTGACTCATCATACAGTTACATAAATCTTTGATAAATTTTGAAACATTTGTATCCGTTTAAACACAGACGAAGCCAGAGTTGGACTTCTGCAGGCTCCTAAGTTGTGTGGAAAAACGGTGTGAACATGAGCCACGAGGATCTCAGTTTCACAAACACCCCGAGTGTTAAATTTGCCAAGTTCATCATGAGCATCCTCCTACAGCGCCAAAAAACAATTCTGATTGATTTCAAAACTTTTAACATCTGCTTCTTTGAGTTTTTCCTGAAATGTCAAACCTCATCCAGGAGGACTAGTAAATATTTTTATATTGAAGTATTTGACAAAGAATTCACAGTGTGTATTATTACAGTGTCTAACAAACTTGAGGACAAATACAAGTCCTACTCTTTGAGGGACGTCGATGTTCGTGCCCAAGTTTTAGTTGAAGAAGTGACGGAGATGTAGCTGCTCTTTGAAACCGTCAAAATTAGTTCATGCACTCGTTCACCTGATATCAAGAAACGTCACGCTAAGAGTACGTGACGCGAATAAGTCTCGGCTATTACCAGATCAAACTGCAGCACAATATCAATTCAATAGTTTATATAGCGCCAAGTCACAACAGAGGTCATCTCAGGGCACTGAACAGAAACATTGTATAAAAAATTATTTATTATTTATCTGAGGAGCAGACTGTTTTTAATTTAACTCCATCGCAGACTCTCATCTTGAGGAAGCATGAAGGCGACAGTGGAAAGGAAAAACTCCCTCATGAGGAAAAATCCTTTAGCAGAACCAGGCTCAGGACAAGTGGCCATCTGCTTCGACCGGCTGGCTTTGAGAGGAACAGGAAGGAAGAACAGATACACAATGGCAGGTCAAGAATCACATGTTAAGATAGAACTAGTACCAAATGAAAACTATTCAATTGTAACAATTTGTTTAAGGAGATGAGCCTTTCAGTTATCAGGCTCCTCTCTTGTGGAACCAACTTCCAGTTTCTGTCCATGAGGCTGACACATTGTCCAGTTTTAAGACTGGGCTTAAGACTTTCCTTTTTGATTAATCCTATAATTAAGATTAGCTTGTTATGCTGCTATAGGTTTAGATTACTGGAGGACAAACTTTACCTTACTTCCTTAAATTAATTGCTAATAAGTTTTCATTTGATACTATTTCCATCTTATGTGATTCTTGACCTGCCATTGTGTATCTGTTCCTCCTTCCTGTTCCTCTCAAACCCAGCCAATCGAAGCAGATGGCCATTTGTCCTGTGCCTGGTTCTGCTAAAGGTTTCTTCCTCATGAGGGAGTTCTTCACTGTCGCCTTTGTGCTTGTTCAAGATGAGAGTCTGTGATGGAGTTAAATTGAAAGCAGTCTGCTCCTCAGATAAATAATGTTAACTTACATTTTTTATAAATGAATGTTTCTGTTCAGTGTCCTGAGACGACTTCTGTTGCGACTTGGCACTATATAAATAAACTGAATTGAAATTAAGCAGATCCAAGATGTGCACGTTAATTAGGGGAAATACCTCTTTAACCAGTCTGGTTGGGATGGGATCTAGCAGACATGTGGATGGTTTGGATGAAGCTATTATTTTTTATAATTCAGAGAGCTCAACAGGACAAAAACAGTCCAAACATAAATCAGGTTCTAGTGACATTTTTAAAGTTGCCTCATCTGACCCAGAACCAGAGGCGATAGTAGGTTGATTTGAGATTTTTCCCTAACGGAAATAATTTTATTTATAAGGAATCTCATGAACTCATCACTGCTTATGCAGGGATACATGGTTCAACAGAGATAGGATTTTTCATTAGACTAGCTATGGTACTGAAAAGGAACCTGTGGTTGTTTTTATTCTCATCAATTAAAGATGAATAATATTAAGTTCTAGCTTTATGGAGCGTTTTTTTATAAGTTAGCAGGCTATCTCTCCAAGATGAGCAAAATTCTTCAACGTTAGTGGAGCGCCATTTTCTTTCCAGCTTTCTAGATGCCTGTAAAGAAATTGTAATCTATAAAATATTATTTTAGTTATACAGTTGTTTCTATTTTCTAAGATCTGTAGGCCATCCTTCAGGCATGAGTGCAAAAAAAACAATACTTTACTTTCTAATCTTGAGACATTGACCTCCAATAATATCTTGTATTGTGTGGTGGCCATTTTGAATCCAGTTGACTCCAAAAGTTACGCACGCACACAAGTAGAAATGTTTTCGTCTGCCTTCACCTTTCAACCAATAAGCACATTTCAGAACTCAACCTGTGACTAATAACCTTAGATATATGTTGTTTAAAGCTGTCTGTGCAAACAAGTCTCAACATTAATTTATTTTCTCATAGAGCGGCTCCGTCACATGTGGGTCGAGGTCGACACGTTCGTCTTCGGATGTCGTCAGTGAGTTTTATAATCCATTAAAAAAACAAACATCTTACCTTAAAAACATGGAACGCCTCAAACTGGATGTTGCGGCTCTTGTCTCTTAGCAAATTCATCATCAGTTTGAGATTGTCTGGCTTGCTGATGTACTTCGTCATTATGGTGAAATTGTGCCGATCAAGAAGCAACTCTCCCAGTAGCTAAAACATTTGAAGACAAAAACAAAAAATTAATCAAACGTGTTAAGAAGACAACCTGCTGTCTGTCCCACAACCCATGACTCAGAAACTCAAACTTGTATTTAATTGACTAGATTTACATTCACCATCAGCTGGTATTACCTTTTAGTAACAATTTAAAAAGATGTTTATGGTCAGTAAAAATAAAATCAGAGACTGAATTAAAGTTGAGATCTTAAGTGACTTTTCTCAAAGGAGGAAGATTCATTTACTAATTGGCATCATATACAAAACCAAACCCCACAAAAAGGAAATAAAAAGCCCACAAATGGCATGACAGGGTAACAAACTGAGCTCCAAGACTAGATGTCAGACATAAGTCGGTGAAGGAGATGGAAGGATGTGAAGAAACCCAACACTAAAGCTGGACCACCACAAGACGTTTTTACCTGCGAGACCCAGCATCCTTACCTTGAGCGACTGCCGTTTAGTGACGTAGTTTTCTGAGTGGAGTAACTTCTCATATTCACTAAAGAACTGGAACGAGAGAGGAGAGGAAGGAAGATGATTAGAGAAATGGTGATTAGGGACAAATGGTTGTTTGTTACATTAGATCTCAAAAAAAAAAAAAAAAAAAAAAGATGGTGAAAATGAAGAACCTTCCCACTCTCAAGCTGACAAATACTTTATGTTCTCAGTCTCCAAATTGTGTCCCAAATATCTGATAAAAGAAGGCGCCTGCCAAGAAGCTGAACAGCCGGACTGTTCATCTGGAGCTTTTAGTTTGAGTAATCCAACAACACGTCGAGACCTCAGTGGAGTTTACTCCGTTTGCTCCATGTTTTAGCAAAACAATTATTGAAACTACAACAGGATTTTTATGATTTAGTCCACAACCCCTGACAAAAAAATTATGGAATCACCCCTTTTGGATAGAGTTGCATTCGGGCCTAAAAAACCTGACCCAGCCCGAGCCCACAGGCATTGTGTCTGAGCCCGACCCGATTAATTAACTGTGCTTAGAGGCCTGAAACCGAAGCAAACCTGACATGTTATTTTAATTAAGCTTCTACTGCTTTTGTAAGCAAATCAGTTTGACATGATAGTTTAAAAACATATTTCAAAGAAAAGAAGATGTAAGATTTCTTGTTTCACCAAATGGATATTAACATACAAAACAAATAGTCTAAAAAAAACAACTCTAAAGACAGGCTGTTACACAGATGAACAAAAATATTTTTAGAGCAAAATTATTTGGAAAAATATAGAACAAGGCTATTTTAATTTGAACGTGCAGCTCGCTTCGGCTTTTGCAGCGTCAGGTGTTGCAACTTCCTTCACTGCAGATGACGGCAGGGTGCGGACCTGAGCTTTATAGTTTCCAACTCCATTATGTTGCTTGTTGTGGGTTAACAGTAGTAGATTAACACGATTTTATATCGTGCAGTCTCATTTACTTTTCTTTGTGCGGTACGATTCGTGAAACTGCAGAAAAGACGCCCGAGCCCAACCCGGTCCGCCCATCATTTTGGTCTAATCCGGCCCAAATTTCGGGTCGGGCCAGAAATCATAACTCTACTTTTGGACAACAATCTTTGAAAGGTTTTGTTAAAAAAAAAAAGATCAAAGATATAATTTTCTAAACTTCAACCTTCTGACATCAAGAGAAAAACAAACAAATATACATTTCTATCAAGTTTCTCAAGTCAATTAGAGAAAAAAAACCTATAACTTGATTCAAGATGGCCGTCACAGCTAATTAGCCTATTATTTTTTGTTGTTTATTGCATGGGCAAAAAATGGCTATAACTCAAGTCGGTTAATTTAGTATGCGTGGCTTACAGTCAGGATTATACTACAGACATCTACAGTATATACTATAGACATATACTGAAGTAAAAACTGGTTTTGAAGTCGCTGAGGGTTATTCACAACACATACTCCAAGCTCCAACAGATAATCTTAGTTTCAAACTCTGGCATGAAAGATGTCCATCAGCTCCTACAAAACATGGAATAATTAACTTGAACTTCCAATGTCATTGGATTTGAACACATCTCAGGAAGACTGCAGGTTATGAAACTCTGAAAACACAATTAAAGTTTGAACCAAGCTGTCAGAAGGCACGAGAGATAAATCTGTAAAGAGGAAATCAACACTGGAGTGTTTCACTGGAGCTTTCGACCTCGGAGCAGGAAAGACGGTGTGAATGAACATTAATGTCAGTTCTGACGCAGTCAAATTGGATCTCACGCAGTAAAAAAAACAAAACAGCTGTTTACGCGGGTCGGGTGTATTGGAAATGTTCCAGGGCAAGTGAATGCAGCACAATGTTTAACATCGTTGCACAAGCTTTCTGCCACGACAGGTTTTGTACCGTTGTGAGATGCATCAAACACTGAATCTGGTGTTGAGAGACTGATGATGCTCATTTAAATTTACTAGTTTGGTTCAATGGAGCAGAATAAGATGTGAAGAATTTTATTTAAAACTACTAAACAAAGAAACGTGCTGCCATGTTCTTTTCAGAAGAATAAGGTCCTTTCGTCGGGCAAACCTTTCATACGAGAGCTCTCTGAGAATCGCAAGGTCTGACCTTGGGGTGAATTTGCTGGGATGTCCACTACTTAAGTTTTTCACAGAGCTTTTATCTTCTGTGTTGATGAGGTACCCACCCCCCACAGGGAGGAGAAAGTGGAGATACTGGGACTGGTCCGAGCTCTGGCACAGCACCACCCAGACACACTGATGGTCAAACTGCATGAAGTGTGTCAGGCTGTCATACATGAAGACATGTCCTTTCCTGTCTCTGTGTGTACTCTCAACTCTTTGTCCACATGTGTCTATAAGGATGGACACTTGGACCATCTGTAGCTGAAGCTGGCTCCTCACTCTTCATGCTCATTGCATCCCCTCAGATAAAGAACCTGCATGAACCTCCGTGGCCTGTGCAGCCATAGACACCATGGGCTCCCTCTACTCCCACCTGCAGGACATGGATGTAGAGGTGGAGAGATCTGGCTGTGCTCTGCTGATGAGGATCGCTCAGGAAAAAAATAGTTTTATGGCATGTCTGATTTATTTTTCTTCCAAATTAAACATTTCAAAGAAAATCCTCCTATGGTGGCAATTCCATTACTTTTTCCAGAGGTTGTATTAGCTGCAGCAGTTCGTAGTAAAAGAAGTAGCAGAAAACAAATGTTAAATATTTGCTGGTAAATCCCCAGATTTAGTTCTGAATAAACTTACTCTGTCATAATGTTGCTCCAGAAACTCTGCACTCAGAATCTTGTGTCTTGTGAGGAGATCCTGGAATCAGAAATGGTGAAAAAGAGCAATAACCTTAAAACTAACTAAGCCAAGTTTAATTTAACAAACAAACAAACAGTACTGGGAGATCAAATACCTGAGCCACAAATGACCTGAAATAAAAAGGGTTGACTAATCCAACATCATAAAGTGTGATAAAGATAACATAAAGTATGACTAAGAGGGATTTTATCAGTTTTGTTTTTAATGTTGTTTGTTGATTTACCACTAACAAGTCACCAACATGAAGCCGCCAGAGGGAAATGGCACTGAAATGTGAAGCAACTGTCTCTTTATTACTGAGGAAAGAAAAAAAAACCAGAGAATGACTCGGCATGGTGCATCATTGGAAGAGTCGGCTGTCGCCACTAAAACGTTGAAGGTTTATCAAGTTGAGCTGTGGTGTAACGACACAAATCAACTTAGACCAACATTCTCAACAGGAGGGTCCATGTCTGGAGCAATGGTTTGACAAACAATTTATTTTTTATTGTCTTTTTAAAAGCAAGATGGCAGGGGACATACCTGAAAATAATGGAGGCAAAATTTTTGACGTGCCACAACAGTACACCCACAAACACAACATTAGAGCCCAACCGATAAATCAGTAGGGCCAATGTTTTAGGATGATACAGGCGTTTGGGGACATTTCGTTATCAGTGATGACTGTCCCATTATGCGCAGATATAAACACTTGTAATTCCACCCCCAAAAAAGCTGGAAACAGCTGTAATTGTACAGTGTATCCAGCAGAGGGCACATGAAGACTGCTTTCAAGTCATGGCTGTTCATGAGCTTCCCTTTCACTTTCAGCACAGATAAGCAGGGAACAACTGTGTAGCACATGTTGCTGAACAGAGCATGGCAAGTTAATTTAGACATATCTGTAAAATAAAAAGAAAAAAAATCAACAATAAATTCTCTTCAGTCCTCCAACCTGCTTGTAGCTACGTGCCTCTCAAGTTAGCAAGCTAACACTTGGATAGCCTAGCATTCTTTGTTCAATGTATATTTTTGTAACACTTGATAACTTCATGGTGAATTGTGGAGGATAGAAAAAGTGAGCATACGTTAGAAAGACTGTTTCAAGACTTCAAGTGTTAAAACAGGTTTACAAGTAGCTGTTTACTTCGATTCTTGGGGGTGGATGAAGTTAAAAAAAAAATTCAGCCATTATATTGGTTATTGGCGGCTGCTTTACCCTCCCAGAAGACGATAGCCAAAAAAGCCATATCGGTTGGGCTCTACTTAAAATAATGATCATGTTATTTTTTTAGTTTAAAAAAAATCTTTAGTTTTAAAAATTAAAGGGATGTTTCAGCCATTTTGAAGTGGTGTTCTGTGCATCTAATCTTTGAAAGAAATCAGTTTGGAGAGATGAGCACGTACATCTGACAGGACTGACGAGCAAACAGCTAATTCAAACACAGCCAAGACTAAAGTAGACTTTTGCCAGCTTAATACAACTCAGCTCCAACTTTTACAGCAGTTCATGCAATTGCTGTTTCATAGGCCTTTACGCTGCCTTCATTTTGGCATTAGAAGTTCATTTTAGGTAGAATTTTATGAATACTTGCGAGTGCAATAGAAGCGATAGCTACAGTGCCTTGTGAAAGTATTCAGCCCCTTGAACTTTTCAACCTTTTGCCACATTTCAGGCTTCAAACATAAAGATATAAAATTTTAATTTTTTGTGAAGAATCAACAACAAGTGGGACACAATCGTGAAGTGGAATGAAATTTATTGGATGTGTCAAACTTTTTAACAAATAAAAACTGAAAAGTGGGCCATGCAATATTATTCGGCCTCCTTGTGTTAATCCTTGTGTAGCGCCGCTTTTTGCTGCAGTTCCAGCTGCAAGTCTCTTGGGGTTTGTCTCCATCAGTTTTGCACATGGAGACACTGAACTTCTTGCCCATTCTTCTTTACAAAACAGCTCGAGCTCAGTGAGGTTGGATGGAGAGCGTTTGTGAACAGCAGTCTTCAGCTCTTTCCACAAATTCTTGATTGGATTCAGGTCTGGACTTTGACTTGGCCATTCCAACACCTGGATACGTTTATTTGTGAACCATTCCATTGTAGATTTGGCTTTATGTTTTGGATCATTGTCTTGTTGGAAGATAAATCTCCGTCCCAGTCTCAGGTCTCTTGCAGACTCAAACAGGTTTTCTTCCAGAATGGTCCTGTATTTGGCCCCATCCATCTTCCCATCAATTCTGACCATCTGCCCTGTCCCTGCTGATGAAAAGCAGGCCCAAACCACAATGCTGCCACCACCATGTTTGACAGTGGGGGTGGTGTGTTCAGGGTGATGAGCTGTGTTGCTTTTACGCCAAACATATCGTTTTGCATTGTGGCCTAACAGCTGGATTTTGGTTTCATCTGACCAGAGCACCTTCTTCCACATGTTTGGTGTGTCTCCCAGGTGCTTGTGTCAAACTTTAAACAACACTTTTTATAGATATCTTTGAGAAATGGCTTTCTTCTTGCCACTCTTCCATAAAGGCCAGATTTGTGCAGTGTACGACTGATTGTTGTCCTATGGACAGACTCTCCCACCTCAGCTGTAGATCTCTGCAGTTCATCCAGAGTGATCATGGGCCTCTTGGCTGTATCTTAAATATTTTTATATTTTTTATATAACAGGCTGCATTTATAAAGAGAACAGTGAGAAAATGGCCAACGGAAGCCAAAGAAGCCCTGCGGGGTTGTTTTGAGGCTACAGACTGGGATGCACTGTGCCAGCCACATGGAGAGGACATCAATGCCATGACTGAGTGTGTGACCGACTATATAAACTTCTGTGTAAACAACACTATCCCCCCCAGAACAGTGAGATGCTTCCCCAATAACAAGCCCTGGATTACCACTGACCTGAAGGAACTGCTAAACCAGAAAAAAAGAGCCTTCAGGGAGAGAGACAGGGAATTATTGAGGAGCACACAGGAGCAACTTAAAGTCAAGATAAGAAACAGCAAGGAGGTGTACAAGAAGAAGCTGGAGAGCAAGCTCCAACAGAACAATATCAGAGAGGTGTGGTCAGGGATGAAAAAGATCACAGGCTTCAAACAGAAGGAGGATCAGAAGGATGGAAGCCTGGACAGAGTCAATGAACTGAACACATTCTTCAATAGGTTCAGTTCAGGAACAAGCGCTCAGCATCCTCCTCTCTTGCCCACAGCCAAACATACATACCACCCTCCATTGACCCAAGGCTGTCCTGTCACACCTCAAATACTGTATCTACCACCTCAATCATGGACCCTTCTTCTACATATTGGTCTTCAACCAATTCAGAAGATGCTGATACCTCCTTTGCCTCGACCCTCTGCATCTCCAGAAGTCAGGTGAGTAAGCAGCTGGAGAGACTGAACCGGAATAAGGCTGCAGGTCCAGATGGTGTCAGTCCCAGAGTCCTGAAGGTCTGTGCAGAGCAGCTCTGTGGGGTTCTGCAGCACCTCTTCAACCTTAGCCTGACCCAGGAGAAGGTTCCAGTGTTGTGGAAAACATCCTGTCTTGTTCCAGTGCCAAAGAAAACGCACCCATCAGTCCTCAATGACTATAGACCTGTTGCCCTGACATCCCACATCATGAAGGTCCTAGAGAGACTTCTGCTGACCCACCTGACTAGACAAACAAGCACATATCAGGACCCACTGCAGTTTGCTTATCAGCGTGGACTTGGAGTTGAAGATGCCATCATACACCTGCTTCAGCAAACTCACTGTCATCTAGAAAAGGCAGACAGCACCGTGAGAGTCATGTTCTTTGATTTCTCCAGTGCATTTAACACAATCCAGCCTGATTTGCTTTGTCAGAAACACAAGAAGACTCAGGTGGAGGCCTCAACAATCACCTGGATCAAAGACTACCTGACAGACAGACCACAGTTTGTGAGACTGAAGGGTTGTGTGTCTAACCAGGTGGTCAGTAGCTCAGGAGCACCACAGGGGACTGTACTCTCACCATTCCTTTTCACTCTGTACACCTCAGATTTCTAGTACAAAACAGACTCCTGTCATCTGCAGAAATATTCTGATGACTCTGCAGTAGTCAGGTGTATCAGAGATGGACAAGAAGCTGAGTACAGGGAACTGGTGGACTGCTTTGTGGCATGGTGTGGAAACAACCATCTCATCATCAATGTGAACAAAACAAAGGAGACGATTGTAGATTTCAGGAGAACAGGAACAGGTCCAACCCTATTTCCATCATGGGAGAAGAAGTGGAGGTGGTGGAGAAGTATAAATACCTTGGAGTTCACCTGGACAATAGACTGAACTGGAAATGCAACAGTGAAGCCGTCTACAAGAAGAGACAGAGCAGACTGTACTTCTTGAGGAAGATGAAGTCCTTCAACGTTTGCAGCAAGATGCTGCATATCTTCTATAAGTCTGTTGTAGAGAGCGCTATCTCTTCTGCCATCATCTGCTGGGGCAGCAGTACCAGAGCAAGTGACTTAAAAAAGATCAACAAGCTCATAAAGAAGGCTGGCTCAGTTCTGGGGACTCCTCTAGAACCTTTGGAGATGATTGTTCAAAGAAGGATTCTTCATAAAATGAACATTATAGATAAACCTCAGCATCCTCTTCATCAGACTGTCATACAACAACAGAGTGTCTTCAGTCAGAGTCTTCTTCAGATCCGTTGTAGAACAGACCGCTACAAGAGATCCTTCCTGCCCACAGCCATCAGCATCTATAACAACTCAATGAAACCAGGATGATGAGTTACCACAACATATAATTTCCCTCTGGGATTAATAAAGTTAATTTGAATTGAATTGAATCTCTGATCAGTCTTCTCCTTGTTCGAGATGAAAGTTTAGAGGGACGGCCGGGTCTTGGTAGATTTGCTGTGGTCTGATACTCCTTCCATTTCAATATGATTGCTTGCACAGTGCTCCTTGGGATGTTTAAAGCTTTGGAAATATTTTGTATCCAAATCCAGCTTTAAACTTCTTCAAAACAGTATCTTGGACCTGCCTGGTGTGTTCCTTGGTCTTCATGATGCTCTCTGCACTTTGAACAGAACCCTAAGACTATCACAGAGCAGGTGCATTTATACGGAGACTTGATTACACACAGGTGGATTCTGTTTATCATCACCAGTCATTTGGGACAACATTGGATCATTCATAGATCCTCACTGAACTTCTGGAGTGAGTTTGCTGCACTGAAAGTAAAGGGGCCCAATAATATTGTACGCCCCACTTTTCAGTTTTTTATTTGTTAAGAAAGTTTGACACATCCAATAAATTTCATTCCACTTCACGATTGTGTCCCACTTGTTGTCGTTTCTTCACAAAAAAATTAAATTTTATATCTTTATGTTTGAAGCCTGAAATGTGGCAAAAGGTTGAAAAGTTCAAGGGGGCCGAATACTTTCACAAGGCACTGTAGCTGGAGCACTTCCGCTGCAACCTGGGGCATTTCCTGCAGGATTATCACAATATTTCTGATTGAGTTATTTGTGTAATGTGAAAAGAAAAGCTGTGTAAAGGTTGAAATACTGCTTGCATGAACTGCTTTGTCATTTAAAAGGCTGGATAAGAATCCACTTTAGTCTTAGCTGCCTTCATTTTTTATTTTTATTTTTTCTTCAAACTACATGTACCTTTTTGGCTCATCAGTAGGTTCAAACAAACTCTTTTTCCCTAAAGTAAAGTTGTTCAAAGGGCTGGCTAAAGCAGGTAGGAAGTAAACTTTTCCACAGAACTCCACTTCAAAATGTCTGAACTGTTCCAAAGGAGTCACTGGTGTTTCAAAGCACTGATAATCAGCTTGGCTTCAACAGCTGAGCAGTGTAGCGGACTTACTTTAAAAGTGGAAAACGCATCTGAGGCGATGTCGAACGTGGACATCTCTACATATCTGAAGAAGTCGTAGAACTGCTCCGACCAAAGCGTGATTTTAGCCAGTGGTTCGTGTCTGATGCACTCCCTCAGCATGATGCCACAGTTTAGGGCAATATCTGGAGACTCGTACCTGTCAAAAACAACAGCATAAAAACAAGAACTTATCATTTCTCTTGTCCCACAGTCTAAAGAGTATTTATGAACAAACTTATTTATGCTAGGCTCTCTGAGAGCAGAAAGAGTTTTTTTTATCTACAAAGTAGGAATGCGTGATATATACGGCACACGGTAGAAATTTAGCCTACGATACAAATCTGTCTTCTACCGGCTAACTGCAGTAACGCTGTGTCTGATGTAAAATCAAAGTTGTCAGATTTAATCGTTACTTTTTTTTAGTTGAAAACTGTGCGTAAGCGGTGGTAAAGTATTTTCTTTGAGAGCTAAGTAGAGAAGCTACAAGCTAACTACGACCGGCTTGCCGTAGGGTTGCCGTATTCGGATGCATGCGCAAAACGCTGTGTTCCGTCCAAAGTTTTTTTTTTCCTTTGAAAGTTAAAGTAAGCGTTGGTCCGCTTTAGAGAAACCTGCTCTCTATCTATGAAAAGAACGCTGTGTTGTGTGATTTTACTGCAAGACCCTCTGGCTAAAGCCACAGAGGAAACCGGTCACCATTTTGTGTCAGCTCTCCATTAAAGCGGAAGGAGACGCCCACTAGAGGGTGAAGTGTTTTCTGTATAAAATGCTGCTCTGTATTTCTTAAGGGAGAATACTGGAAACTGTTAAGAGCTAACAACATATTTTTTTGTTTAAAACATATGGCTAAAACCACATTTGATATATTTTGCACTGTTTTGCACTACAAGAAAGAAAACTTGATTTGTTTTTTAGTTAAAAACTCTCTGGACACAGAATTGGAGTTTTCTTAATTGAGATCGTTTTGTGGTATAGCTGTTTTCAAAATAAATTATGGCCAAAGGACACCCTAGGCTTTTTTCATTCCTATTGCAAGTTTTATACCAAAAACATATTGTGATATATATCGTTATCGCCACACTTCACAATACATATCGTGATATGAATTTTATGCCATATCGCACATCCCTACTACAAAGGTTTGTCTCCATAATAACTCGGGCTTCAACAAACTGAGAAAACACCAAATGGTTGTGTCAGATTAGAGTCATGGCTATAATGCCTCAATCCAGTGTGATAACACTGCTGTTAATCCAACAAAAATACGATACTACAAAAGTTCAACTTACCATTATCTTTCAGACTTATCTCTTCTATTATGACTTAGACAATTTTCTTTTATTCCTAATCAGCATTTTAACAGCATAACACACATTACTCGCAGAATGAAATGTTGACCAGTGGCCGGATTAACCCGTGTGTGTTCTTACCCTTTAAGCAACATGAAGAGGATATTCTGCTGTGTACAAAGATACTCTACAGTTGGTGTCCGAGTGCCAATTTGGCGCCTCAGGATGTTGTTGAAGATCTGTGCTACATCTTTTTTACCCTGATGGAAACACAAAAATAACACATCATCAAGCTATATTCCAACAGATTTTAATGCAAAACAGCAATTATCACCATCAACACACACAACAAATAAGAAGTGTGAAAAGCCAAGACACAACTTGTAAAATGTAGTGCTTGGATAAAAATTATTGTCAAATTTTCTCATTGTAAATTATCAAACGGATAATTATGAATATTCGTGTAGTTTTTTTCACTTCTTACAAAGACAGTGCTAAGACATACTTTCCCCTCTCAATTTACTATAGATACAAGCTAATTTTAGATTCATATGGACATTTAAAAAAAGAACAATTGAGCAGCCTTTTTATAGTTGTTCTGCCCGTTGAAGGCAGTTCCTCTTTTTGTGTCTGTACAGCAGAAACTGCAGCTGATTTTAGCTCAACACGTTCCTTCAGGATCTGTTATAGCTTCAGCTTGGTGATTAGTCAACGTGAGAAAACACGTATGCAAAATTTGGTCCAATCAACGCAAAGTGTATCATGAGACTACATTTGTAGGGGAGTGGTGGCACAGAGGCAAGAGAAGGTGAGCCTGTGATTGGAAGGTCACAGACACAACGTCCCGTGCCAACATCAAAATGTGGGTGGGGAAAGTGACACACCCACACCAGCCTCCACCCTCATTTGGTGCTGCCAGACTCTTACCTGGAGTTGGTAGAAGAGATCATCTCTCCAGTTTTAGCTTCTCTCCATTGGCTCCGTCAAATCGAGAATTCAATTTAAAATGTTGCTTCTAACCAACAAAGCCCTCAAGAACCTAGCTCCATCTTATATTAGAGATATTACTGTTCCATATTTTCCTAACAGAGCACTTTGCTCGCAGACTGCAGGCTTACTTGTGGTTCCTAGTGTTTCCAAAAGCAGAATGGGAGGAAGATCTTTCAGTTATCAGGCTCCTGTCTTGTGGAACCAACTTCCAGTTTCTGTCCGTGAGGCTGACACATTGTCCAGTTTTAAGACTGGACTGAAGACTTTCCTTTTTGATAAATCCTATAGTCAGGGTTGGCTTGTTATGCTGCCATAAGCATAGACTATTAGAGGGCAAACTTGACCTCATTTCCTTAAATGAATCATTAAAATTGAATAGTTTTCATTTGATAGTTCTATCTTAACATGATTCTTGACCTGCCATTGTGTATCCGTTCCTCCTTCCTGTTCCTCTCAAACCCAGCCGGTCAAAGCAGATGGTCGCTTGTCCTGAGCCTGGTTCTTTCTGCTAAAGGTTTCTTCCTCATGAGGGAGTTTTTCCTTTCCACTGTCACCTTCATGCTTGCTCAAGATGAGAGTCTGTGATGACGTTAAACTCAAAGCAGTCTGCTCCTCAGATAAATAATGTTATTAACTTCCTTTTTAGTATATGAATGTTTCCGTTCAGTGCCCCGAGACGACTTTGGTTGTGACTTGGAGCTATATAAACAAAATGAACTGAATCATTTGCCCCAATCTGGGCCCTTGAGCAAGGCCCTTACCCCCATCATCTGCACTCAAACAGGTCTCTCTTGAAAATAAGTTCTCATGACTCAATGAGACTATTGGTACCTGTTTAAATAAAGGTTAAAAATAGATAAATAAATCAAAAGCTCCCTGTAATTCCAATGGGGGAGTGGTGGCGCAGAGGTTAGAAGATGGGCCTGTGATCGGAAAGTCGCAGGTTCAACTCCCAGTACCGTGAACATCAAAATGTGGGTGGAAAAGGTGGAACACCCACACCTCCCTCCACCCACATTCGCCCACTCTGGGCCCCTGAGCAAGGCCCATAACCCCCACCATCTGCTCCCTAAACAGGTCTCTCTTGAAAATGAGTTCTTGTGGCTCAATGAGACTACCTGTATAAATAAAGGGTAAATGAAAAATAAAAATTCCCAAGCTTTTTCCACTCCCCATTAAGACCACCTCTTGCTTCAGGCAGGCACAAATGTTTGCACGCCTATTAAAATGACTATTTGCTAACTGATCTTTGTTTTTGTATTAGGAATATTATTGGGAAATTTCCTGCTTGCACTTGATGAGGACGGACACTTTACCCTCCTGCCTCCCTCCTGCTTTGCTCTTTGTCTTATGATTCCCTCTCACTACATATACTCCGAACTATAAATTATGAATCTGGTCAGCTGGTCTCTCAACGCAATTGATAAAATTTTCTCGATGAGAAGACAGGGCGAAGGAGAACCCTCATGCCCTGAAGGGACACTCACAGCTGGATGTACTATGAATTCCTGAGGGCAGTGGAAGATGGTGTGTCTGTCTGTATTGTCCGTTGAGGATGAAGAAGATGCATACTTCTGGGTGGGTATCTGGCATATCGACAAATTCAGAAGACAATGGCAGCGGTTCTGGCAATTGTGAGGTTGCCTGCCTTGTATGAAGGTACCGAGCAGTAAGCTCTCAGACTCAGATGCTGAATGAGCTGAGCCATAAGCTGGACGCAATTTCTGAGAATCGCAAGCCACTTGTGGCTCCTGGGACTCACTGGCAGGAAGGAATCAACCTTGGAGAAGGCTACAAGCTCGGTCCAGCGGTATGACCACAAAATTTGGCTGTTTGGAATAGCCAGTGAGATGTACCAGCAGAACTATGAAGGCAGACATGGAAATTCAAGCAGAAGCTGCCTGACCCAAAATAATTGTGATATCTGAATTTGGCTTCCCCACTCGGCCTTGAATTGGCCAACTATCTCAAACTTCTCCTGGTTGTTTAACGCTCCCCTCCCAAGGATATCGGTGGATCTCTGTCAAGTTGGCAGGCTGATAGACACTGTGCCATCTTTATCAGGACTATGAAACTTTCTGGCATGTCCACGGACAACTCACTGCCCTCGTCGGCCTCCTCATGCATAAATGTTTTATGATGTCATCAGTATGTTGCTGTTTCATGTGCTGACGTCTTTTTTTTTTTTACACCTCTACTCCCCCTTGTGTTTCTTTTTCCTTATCTGAAAAAAGAGCTGCGCCTCTCGAGGCTGGCGGCCTCAGTCACCTCCATCTCCCCATGTCTGTTTGTTTATGTTTCTCTCGGACAGGCTATACTGTAATCAAATTGCGTTGTGCTTTGGTGCAATGACAATAAAGCTGATTCTGATATTCCACATGACTTTACATTCCATAAAAACCAGCAAATTCCTTGATCTGTTCCATCTCTGCTCAAGGATCAGCATTTTCCCTACTTTACTTGCCTTGGCAGGGCGGTCATAGCTTCAGTGATTTTTTGTAGATGGGAGACACGCCTGACTCGCACGCTGTTTGTACCGACAATTTTCGACCGAAGGGCTGGAGATAGCTCAGCGTGAGGGAAACAAGCTTTTTTCTGGAGCTTTTTAACTAGCGTGTCTGTATTGCGCACCACTTGCTTAGCGCTATGTCGGTGCTGGCAGTTGCTGACTGGGGGAGGCAGGTCGGTAGGCAGGGTGCTCAGTTGCTGACAGGGCGGGGCGCCCTGCTTGTATAATAGTAGGGGAAAAACTGACCAGGATGAAAAGTCAGGATGTTTGTTTCAGCAGGTACAGTTTGGTCAGCCTGAGTTAAGAGTTTTTATATATTTTTATATTTTATTTGACTGCTTTTTTAAAATCTGTGTCAATCAGTGTTTTTTAGAGGTTCTATCATGTCAGATCAAGAGTGAAACCTTATTTCAATCTAACTCTCTTCTGTTCTGCATTTTATAAGCAGCAGCTTCTGTCAACAGTGAAGGATGTGAGTGTAAAAGAGGAAACCGGTGCTGCTGACTGCGATAAGGTGACTCAGGGACGTCTGAAGCAGCACTTGCACACACCAGCATCCTGACAGATTGCAGGAAGATCTGAGTTTACACACACGTATAATCATGAACCACCAACAATCTTCAATGGGAAACGTGAAGGGCGGCCTCTACATAACCTTTTTGTGTTAAAATTCCTACTCATGTCTTGTGCTTTCAGTATTATTTGGGTCAACATTTTCTATACTAGAACAGAAGTCTCACCTCAAAGTCAATGAGCTGCAGGTCTGCTACCAGGGTGCTGAGTAAGCCACTGTTGTAGAGCTCCTGAGCTAGCTGAGCTACTGCCTCCGTCTGTGGCTCTTTTTCATTAGTCCCATACAGGATCTCCTTCATGGCCACCAGGCTTTTTGACACCTCCTCCGCAGCCTGAAGAAATGCAGGTATCAGTTAAGACAGGCACTGTGAAGCAGAATACAGTATCATTTGACTCAAAAACTTAAAAAAATAAAATAAATAAATATATCACAACTGACAGTTACGCATTTGATTGAGTATATTGTCTGGGGGATTTAGGTAAAGGTTATGTGGTAAATTAGTGTGTGTAAATTACAGAGTTGTCTGCCCGGGGGGTGAGATGGGATGACCTGCAGGCTCCTCTCTGAAGAGCACAGAGCCTGCCTCTCTCACTGACGAGGCTAAATGCATGTAGTTTTTGTACATCTGTGAAGGCTTCCTTGTGACATCTACCCTTGCAAGTAAAGACCAGTTTAAAAATCTTCTTGTGTCCTCAAGAGTGGCTTATTTGGGTAAAGAAATGATAAAAGGATATTTAATTTATCCAACATATATTTTCTGTTTAATGTGATATAGACACTGTTAAAAATAAATAATAAAGTGCAATGTGTTGTCATCATTGTATGTTCCCATACAATGGCAAAATTGTTTTTTCTGCATTTAAACTTTTCAACTCCTCCCCCTTTCTGCACATAAGATAATAAAATTAACCCTGCACCACAATAAACACTTTAATGATTTCACATTAAAACATTTCACACATGTCTGCACCTGACCTGTTCAGATCTTAATTGCTGGTATTTTTATATTCTCTGTTATTTTTTATATTCTCTGTTATTTTTTATATCTTGTGTGATACTGCAACAGTACAATAAAATGCTCAGGATGAGAAGAACAATTGGACTCGCTAAATAAACAAAGAACAAACAAACAAGAAATATAAAACTTTGTGAGGATGCTGGTGCTCGTACCAAACTTTTTTAGTCTTCTTAGGAAGTAGAGTCTTTAAAGGCTTTCTTGACCACAGTGTCTGTATGTAAAGCCCAGGACAGATCCTAAGTAATGTGAACGCTGAGGAACTTGAAGACGCATATACACGCTAGCTAAGATGCCACATGATCTGTTTCTCTCACACATCCTAACCCCCCGAAGACCGAGGAGGAACGCCGTTTCTTAAAGGGAAGAAATTATAACTCGCCTCTGATACCCCCGCCCCCACTACACGATTCACGTAAATTACATATTTTAGTTTGAAAAGGGAGATTTTCGCCGAAAAGCGACTAGTTTGTAGGTATGATAGACAAGAACTTGTCTGAGGTCTTGTGAACTTTGCTGACAAAGTTGGTGAAAAACAATTTAGCAGAAGCTAATTCCGCTAATGGTTCCCAAAGTTAGCAAAAACACTAATCCGCTAAACAAAAAATTAGTTCCGCTATTAGCACGTTATCAGAACTGTGCCCACCACTGCAGAAACGTCTTGTGAGCAGTTGTCAATCTGAACTGTATTATTAATATTTTGACATTAACATAGTTCAGAGCCATCAGAGTTATGTCTTCTTACACAAATGTTATTTCTTGGTTTTCTATTTTTAATAAATTTGCAAAAATCTCAAAAAAATATTTTCTCACATCATCTAAATGGGGGTATTGTTTGTAGAATTTTGAGAAAAGGAATTAATTTAATACAATTTGTAAAAAGGCTGTAAAAATAACAAAATGTGGAAAAAGTGAAGCGTTGTGAATACTTTCCGGATGCTCTGTAACTATTTGAACTCTCTAAAGCTGCAAACCTCTCTTTTAATTGCCTTTTCTTTGTATATAAAACAAAACAAAACTACAAAATTTGTACCCACTTGTACAAAATATAACCACAAACTTTTAGGCATAATACCATTTATTATTTTCACTATGACACATTAAGTTTTATAATTGTTTTCACCAAATAAGAGCCGCAATCATTTAAAGTAGTGACGTAACAATTCTCCACTATTGCCATCTATTATCTAAACTGTTGTGTTCATGATCATTTAAGTTTGTTAAGAAAATTGTTAAGTAGTTAGATAAAACAGAAATGTTACATTTGAGTACTATTTTACCATTTCCAACTGTTTCCTGAAAATTGTTCTTAAAGAGCATTTCCTTTCGTTATTCCTACGGATCAGTTGCTGGAGCTCAAGAAGGCAAAATGCAAGTTTACACCAAAACAAAAAACTAAACAAAACAAAACAAAAAAAACCCTAGCTAATATCAATAATCTTAAATTAAATGCAGCATTTCACAAACAGAATCAAATTTTTTAACCTTGATCACCATTTTTTATTTTATGGCAGGGTCGGATGTAGTTCCTAAAGGTTGAGTATTGGTTGTAGTTTTTTTTTGTTTTTCGGAGATAATAAATCCTAGAGGAAAAAAAGAAGTTAAAAAATCGCCTTACCTTTTCTGCCTTTTTATCTGAGATGTCGTGCTTCTCTAGCACAGTCATGCTGTCCTTAAGGTGCTTGACGATGTCCGCCGGTGACTTGTGGGATTTGCCAAAGGGGAAAGGCATAGCGGGGCGTTACCACGAGTGACCAGGCAGCGGACTGTCCACCTGAAGAAAGAAATGTAAAAGTTTTTACAAAAAAAATCTCAGCCTACAAGTCACATTTGATTTACAAACACTTAATATTGTTTCCAGTCTACAGCGGCAGAAAGTCCTGATATAAAACCTTAGCCGCCCTGAGAAAGAAGTAGCCGATGGTATTTAAAACACTGTCCAGTGCATTTGAAGAAATGTGATGAACCTTTTATAACATGCACAAAAACATGTTCCTGCTTTTAGTTTTCTACATTCAACTTATGAGCTAGCTGTTTTTTGCTATTTTTGCCATCTTATTTTAATTTGTTTAAAAAAAAAAACTGTATGCCTCTTATGATTGTCCATTGTTGTCATCTTTCTTTGTTGAAATCAGGTCTCTCTTGTAAATGAGTCCTCGAGGCTCAATGGGATTACGTGTCTAAATAAAGGTTGAATGAATGTCATTTACACATGTGGAGTCTCGTATATCAAAGGGTGAACAGCTTTAATACTGAAAATTGGCATACAACTTTACAAAAGTGCCTACGTACAAATGTATTCCTTTTATCAAACCGTGCGCATGCATGATTACGCACATTCCTTCACACATCCCAGTTTACATAGAATGGAGCATAGCTACACCTGCCCCTTGGACTGCACTGTCACCTCCCATAAATAGTATTATTATAATTATTTATATAGCACATTTAAAACAGAATCTGTTACCAAAGTGACATAAATTTGTGGCAGGATTAAGGGCCATGCATACACCATCCAAAGTGGTGAAATTAACTCACTGATACCTGATCATCATATTGATTTACTCTGTCTGACAGAAACTTGGCTACAACAGGAGGATTTTGTTAGTATAAATGAATCCACTCCTGTTAATTATTTAAATTTTCATGTTCCTAGAACAGAGAGGCGCCGAGCAGGCGTGGGCGTACTAATTGCCCCCCAACTTGGTGCCTGTGTATTGGGGTTCACCCCAGTGAATGAGAGGGTGGCCTCTCTCCGCCTACGTGTGGGGGGACGGGTTCTGACTGTCGTTTGTGCTTATGCACCAAACGGCAGTTCAGATTATCCACCCTTTCTGGAGTCCTTAGAGGGGGTACTGGAAAGTGCACCTTCTGGGGACTCCCTTGTTCTGCTGGGGGACTTCAATGCTCATGTGGGCAATGACAGTGAGACCTGGAGGGGTGTGGTTGGGAGGAACGGCCCCCCTGATCTGAACCAGAGTGGTGTTCTGTTGTTGGACTTCTGTGCTCGTCATGGATTGTCAATAACGAACACCTTGTTCAAGCATAAGGGTGTCCATATGTGCTCTTGGCACCAGGACACCCTAGGCCGCAGTTCGATGATCGACTTTGTCATCGTCTCATCTGATCTGCGGCCACATGTCTTGGACACTCGGGTGAAGAGAGGGGCGGAGCTGTCAACTGATCACTACCTGGTGGTGAGCTGGCTCCGATGGTGGGGGAGGATGCCGGTCAGACCTGGTAGGCCCAAACGTATTGTGAGGGTTTGCTGGGAACGTCTGGCAGAGTCTCCTGTGAGACGGAGTTTCAACTCCCACCTCCGGGAGAACTTTGAACATGTTCCAAGGGAGGTGGGGGACATTGAGTCTGAGTGGACCATGTTTCGTGCCTCTATTGTCGAGGCGGCTTACCAGAGCTGCGGCCGCAAGGTTGTCGGTGCCTGTCGGGGCGGCAACCCTCGAACCCGATGGTGGACACCGTCGGTGAGGGATGCTGTCAGGCTGAAGAAGGAGTCCTATCGGGCCTTTTTGGCCTGTGGGACCCCGGAAGCAGCTGATGGGTACCGGCAGTCCAAGCGACATGCGGCTCGGGTGGTTGCTGAGGCAAAAACTCGGGCATGGGAGGAGTTCGGAGAGGCCATGGAGAACGACTTCCGCACGGCTTCGAGACATTTCTGGTCCACCATCCGGCGTCTCAGGGGGGGGAAGCGGTATGCCACCAACACTGTTTATAGTGGGAGTGGTTTGCTGCTGACCTCAACTCGGGATGTTGTGGGTCGGTGGGCGGAATACTTTGAAGACCTCCTCAATCCCACCGGCACGTCTTCCACTGAGGAAGCGGAGCCTGGGGACTCTGGGTCGGGCCCTCCAATCTCTGGTGCTGAGGTCACCGAGGTGGTTAAAAAGCTCCTCGGTGGCAGGGCCCCAGGGGTGGATGAGATCTGCCCAGAGTTCCTTAAGGCTCTGGATGTTGTAGGGTTGTGTTGGCTTACGCGACTCTGCAATGTTGCGTGGACATCGGGGGAAGTTCCCCTGGATTGGCAGACCGGGGTGGTGGTCCCCCTATTCAAAAAGGGGGACCGTAGAGTGTGTTCCAACTACAGGGGAATCACGCTCTTAAGCCTCCCTGGTAAGGTCTATTCGGGGGTTCTGGAGAGGAGGGTCCGTCGGATAGTCGAACCTCGGATTCAGGAGGAACAGTGCGGTTTTCGTCCTGGCCGTGGAACACTGGACCAGCTCTACACTCTCAGCAGGGTCCTGGAGGGTGCGTGGGAGTTTGCCCAACCAGTCTACATGTGCTTTGTGGACTTGGAGAAGGCTTTCGACCGCGTCCCTCGGGGGGCCCTGTGGGGGGTACTCTGGGAGTATGGGGTACCAGGCCCTTTGATACGGGCTGTTAGGTCCCTGTATGACCGGTGTCAGAGCCTGGTCCGCATCGCCGGCAGTAAGTCGGGCTTGTTCCCGGTTAGAGTTGGACTCCGCCAAGGTTGCCCTTTGTCACCGATTCTGTTCATAACTTTTATGGACAGAATTTCTAGGCGCAGCCAAGGTGTTGAGGGGATCCGTTTTGGTGGCCTCAGAATTGCGTCTCTGCTTTTTGCAGATGATGTGGTCTTATTGGCTTCATCAGATCGTGATCTACAGCTTTCACTGGAGAGGTTCACAGCCGAATGCGATGCGGCCGGGATGAAGATCAGTTCCTCCAAATCCGAGGCCATGGTCTTGAGCCGGAAAAGGGTAGAGTGCCCTCTCTGGGTCAGGGAGGAGGTCCTACCCCAAGTGGAGGAGTTCAAGTATCTTGGGGTCTTGTTCACGAATGAGGGAAAAATGGAGCGTGAGATCGATAGGCGGATAGGTGCAGCGTCTGCAGTGAAGCGGGCGCTGTACAGGTCTGTCGTGGTGAAGAGAGAGCTGAGTCAAAAGGCGAAGCTCTCAATTTACCGATCGATCTACGTTCCCACCCTCATCTATGGTCACGAGCTTTGGGTTGTGACCGAAAGAATGAGATCTCGGATACAAGCGGCCGAAATGAGTTTTCTCCGCAGGGTGTCTGGGCTCTCCCTTAGAGACAGGGTGAGAAGCTCGATCATCCGGGAGGGACTCGGAGTAGAGCCGCTGCTTCTCCACATCGAGAGGAGCCAGTTGAGGTGGCTTGGGCATCTGTTTAGGATGCCTTCTGGACGCCTCCCTGGTGAGGTGTTCCGGACACGTCCCACCGGAAGGAGGCCCAGGGGAAGACCCAGGACACGCTGGAGGGACTACGTTTCTCGGCTGGCCTGGGAACGCCTTGGGATTCCCCCGGAAGAGCTGGCCCAAGTGGCTGGGGAGAGGGAAGTCTGGGCCTCCCTACTTAGGCTGCTACCCCCGCGACCCGACCCCGGATAAGCGGAAGAAAATGGATGGATGGATGGTTCCTAGAACAACTGGCCGAGGTGGAGGTGTAGCTTCTATTTTTCAGTTCTGACTATTAATTACTACTAAACCAATTATTAGTTGTAATACTTTTGAATCAATGTCTCCAAGTCTATCCCATCCAAAATGGAAATCAGAAAAGCCATTTTTATTAGTTGTTATATATCGTCCACCAGGCGCTTACTCTCAGTTTTTGTCTGAATTCTCAGAATTATTAACCGATTTACTATTAAATACTAATAAAATCATCATAATGGGTGATTTCAATATTCATGTAGCTGTTGAAAGTGATAGCTTAAGCATAGCCTTTAATAATTTAATAGACTCATTTGGTTTTACCCAAAACGTCTGCACATTAGGAATACGCGACATGGCATAAAATTCATATCACGATATGTATTGTGAAGTGTGGCAATAACGATATATATCGCAATATGTTTTGGGTATAAAACTTCATAGGAATCAAAAAGCATAGGGTGTCCTTTTGCCATCATATATTTTGAATTAAGAAAATTCCACTACTAGATCCTGAGTTTTTAAATAATAAACAAATCAAGTATTAGGTTTCTTTCTTGTAGTGCAAAACAGTGCAAAATATATAAAATCTAGTTTTAGCCATGTTTTAAATAAAAGAATATGTTGTTAACAGTTTCCAATCTTACTTAAGAAATGAACAGCAACTGAGCAGCATTTTACACTGAAACACTTCACCCTCCAACCCTCTAGTTGGCGACTCCTTCTGCTTTAATGGAGAGCTGACACAAAATGAGTCTGTGGCTTTGACCAGAGGGTCTCGCAGTAAAATCACACACAACACAGCGTTCTTTCACAGATCAGAGAGCAGGTTTCTCTAAAGCTGACCAACACTTACTTTAACTTTCGATGAAAAAAAAAAAACTTTTGACGGAACACAGCGTTTTGCGCATGCGTCACTTGCGCACAGTTTTCAACTCAAAAAAAGTAACAATTAAATCTGACAGCTCTGATTTTACATCAGACAGCATTACTGCGGTTAGCCGGTAGAAGACAGATCTCTATAAATTTCTATCGTTTCTACTGTATACCATATATATCGCATTCCTACCGCACATGTACTCATTCTTATCATCACACTCTTGATTTAGTTCTGACCTATGGTATAGAGATTAAGGATTTGGTAATAGTTCCTCAAAATCCTATTCTGTCCGACCATTTTTTAATAACCTTTGAGTTACATTAAATGACTACACAGTCACTGAGAGTAAATTTCATCTCAGCAGGTGATTATCAGAAAATGCTGTAACCAAATTTAAACAGTCTCTTCCATCAATGTTTTCCTCTGTCTTGCAGAGTAATGCATCAGAGAACAGTGACTTAGATCATC